AATTGTAAACAACGGAAATTGACGAACGACCGTTAACAAAATAATTGATGATATAATTCATATACTTATGAAGTTTTATGCAATCCTGGTAGAATATTTTTCAAAGCAATGTAAAATTATATTTTACATATTAATATTTTTATTAATATTAATATTTTTAATATTGCAGAAACAAAAATACAAAAATATTGTCATCTCTTTCATTTTCGTTCAATAAAATGCGATAACAATATTTTTCTACACTTTTCTTACACGATAGTGGAAACTTACGATGACATATGACACAGTTTTGACACAATTTATATGAATGAAGTTAATTCCAATTATTTTTACCATTCAAAATTAACAATCGAATAAACGTTGATTTAGTGAATTAAAATCATTCTTCGTGAATTACTTAACAAACATTCATTGTGACATTGTGCTAGCTCTTCCTCATTTATGATGCCCTGGTACGAAATTAATAATTGTACTAAAAATATAAATTTTAATTAATCATTGTTTTTTTTATTTTGTATCATTTTTTTAAACACGAAAATAGCACTAAATTAAAAAAAACATGGTTTTTATTTTTTCGTTGGAGAAAATTGTTGAAATTAAAAAAAATATAGCAAATTCACAATACAAGGGACACATAAATTTGGGAAGAAATACTTAAATTGAAACATAACTTTAAAAACATTTCGACTGGGTTTGAATCAATTTATCGTATGTTGGTCATTTGTTTTACAAAACTAATATTTACTGTGGGTTTTTGAGACCATAATGTTCATTGAAAACATATTGTTATCTCCTTTTTATTAAAGATAATGACAGGGATAGCGATATGTTTTAACAGAGATTTTGGACCTTACAAACCAATGTTTAGTAGTGGAATTGTTTAAGGCCATTAAAATTAATATCTGTCAAAGGTAATCATTAGAAAACCGCATATTACTTTGACAGTCCAACGCCTGGTACGAAATAGTGGAACTTTAATAAGAACTTGGTCGCACAATTGATAAATTGCTATGCGATGACTAATCGAATACGGTAAGTGATTTGCGGTTATGCGGTCCTGGTAACACGAGTATGATTTTCATAGATAGTTTTTTATTTCTCTAAATTGCTTGGGAACCAAAATCATCTTAATCTTGCGGTTAAACCACAATGTAATAGTCGTACTCAGAGTTATTTTAGGTACTTTAGCGTTATCTTAGTGTTAATTTCATTATTAAATCTAAAGTAGAACTAACGCCCTAACGCACAAATTTATCAATCGTAATATTTTCTATTTTGTATTTATCATATTTTATAGACAAAAAGGTGTTAAATCTATTCAGTAGTCTCAAAGTGGGTATTAATTTACTACTGAGATGTTAAAAAAAAACAATCTTACATAAAAACAACAAAAATATTGCCAACGCTAATATAATAGAATGCGAATTAAAAAAAAACTTCAATTCGATTACAAGTAATTTGGTTGAAGCTGTCTCCGATTAAAATCGATTAATTTATTCGTATCGCAGCGAGTTGTCGATGTTATCGCGCCGTTTTGTTGACCATTCGCCGGGTGAGTCGACTCGCTTGTGGCCTGTTTAGTTTACTAGCTGATTATGTTAAATTCTTTCTCACGTTACTGATATACAACGAAATTCATGTTACCACAATGGATTACATCAATTTTAACACGCTTTTATAACTCTATTAATTTTAATGTCTTAAAAACTATGGATTAAATTGCACTTTTGAAATAACGCCATCTAGTGATGTTATAAAAATATGTCTTTAAAACATTAATAGAAAAAATATTTTATGTATAAAACTGACGCAAAAGGGTTGTGCCAGCATGTAAATTAGTAATTAGCAATAATTAAAGTTTAATCTACTCATATCTTTCTTGTCAACGTAATCTATTATACACTAGCAGTCGCCCGTGACTCCGTCAGCGCTAAATTAAAAAAAAACTTAATAAGTAGTTTATTTGTGCATCCAGACAGTGTTCTGTGTGTATCCAGACAGTGATTGTTCGAAATTCAAATTTAATTTATAAAAAAAAGTAATTCTGACATTTTTGTATCGGAATTAAAATTGTACTTTATATAGTGGCAGCTAAAATCGAATTGATTTTAATTTAATCGTAAATACGATGGTATAATCGATTCTGCGAGTCGATGTGACATCCTTACTGGCCGTTCACATATTGCGTGCATTTTATTCTTAATTTAAATTAAATGTGTGTGTCTTTTATTGAAATATTTCCGCGGCTGTTTTTGTGATATTTTTAGTCAAAATTAACGTGTAATTTATTTTTATTTTTTGAGAAAGATAAATATTGTTTAGTGTCAACATTATCTTTTTAATCTAGTGTACATTTTAATTTTTATATTCAAATTTCTTATTGTTTTATTTTTAGGTTGATTTAAAATTGTTTTTTCTCGATTTGTACGAGATTTTCTTACAATAATATCGTTTGGCATTATGAACCACATTCTATCGTCTTCTACGTATACGGCAATAGAAACTTACTTTTACCATCACATCAAATGAACTTGATTTTCTTCCATCAAGAGACAAGAAGTCACCTGTTAAATAAATAATCAAAGAGATTTTAATGCTCATTAAATTCTGTACCTTATAGGTTATAGGCCGTGTTATACCAACTTGTATTTACATTCATATAATTAAATTACATTGGAATTTAAACCTTATTTCCTTAGGTATAGGTTAAAAGTGAAATTTTATCGATGATATAATAAGTTTGTTGGTATTTCGAAGGGTTTGCCCCCCGTTGCGAGAGTATGGGAAAGGCGAGTTTTTTTTTAAAATTTCACAACGACCAAACATAAAGACGGTGACATTCTGTACAAGACTAAGCTTATCAAGATGTTAAGGCAATTATAAAATAAACGGAATAATATTATGTTAAAAATAAATTTGACATGCTTTTCTGAACGTGATTTTTTTTTTGTAATTAAATTATTACGAGTTATATTTAAAATTTAAAGTTATTTTTACATTTTTAACACGAATACCACATGGAGGTTATTCGAAAGTGTAACCGTGGGTTTCTGACATCAAAATCTCATCCATGTATTTGACAAAACACAGACAACAATTTGTTACAAACGGATAATTTTGGACTTAGAAACCCACGATAACTTGATAAATATCCTATTCTTAGTGGATTATAAACAGTTCAAGCTAATTTCCTTTTGGCGATTAGATGCACGGTACAGTCATAGGTGCTTAGTGGAAGCAGGGTTTAACTATGTACTCCTGAGTACGCTTTATGACAAAATGCATGTGTGTGCTTGGTTTCTTATACGCATGATAACTGAAATCTACATTAACGGGACCCTTAATGACCGCTTAGTAACAATTCCGCAGTTAGTGCTTCAAAATTATACTTAAAGACTGCTTAAAAACAATTTTATTAAGATGAATTAAATATTAACAGCTATTTTAAAAGAAAACTTGTGTTATTTGCATTAATATTATACATCCATAGATATTATAGATCCGTCTATGGTTAGTTTTTCAAAGGCGTTCACCTGCACCTCACGACGTCTTAGCTATTGTACTGTACCCCCTGTAGCCTAAAAAACCACGCCTTTATCTGTGGTATTTGAAAAGTTTAAAAAGTAATAAACAAATGCTTGATTTATAAACAAACTGTCACCTGCGGCTTCATCCTTGAGGAATTAAACAAAATAATAATTAGTGTCTTCTTCCATCCATCTAAACATTCGCATTTATATTAGTAAGATTGTATTTCTCAATCTAGTGTGTATAGTCTGGAAGAACACAGTTTACTATTTTTTTTTCCACGCGAACGGTGTCGCGGGCGACAGCTAGTTATTTGATATATAATCCAACCGTTATTAAGACAGACAGGAGTGGCAAGGTCTATGTAATTAATTTTACGATCGTAATATACGAAATTTAATTTTTAAATTTATGTTAAAAGCACAGAAGCTGGCCGGTTAGACTGTATAAAAAGTTTAAAAAAAAAACATATTCTCGATTACGTCAAAGTCGATTTGACAAGTTTGATGAACACGATCTTAGTTCGACGTTAGTTTATGAAAGAAGCTTGTGGGTGGTCCCCGCTACAGACACCATGCTTGTTAAGAAAAAAAACAATTAGAAAACCGTATCAAAGCTGTATGTTAATTATTTTAAGATTTAAAATAATTAATATACATATTATTCATTAAACATAAATTCTCTGTCTAATTTCGACTATTAAATTTAAAAAATATTTTATCATCGTAAGAAAAAAATTGAGAAACATTTTACAAAAAACGCATTAAGACGTTTAATAATAATTAATTATGAATCATACAAAAAGTTTTTGAGTTTTAAATCGTTATATTTTTGTCCTTAATTGTTTAAGAGCCATCATGGTGACCCTATTGTCAAATGCGTATATTCCTCTTTTGTTTTTTTTTTATCATTCACATGGCGATGACTAACCTCTATCAGCCACCGATGTCGCTATGCATTGGTGTGAAAATAGATAAGGATCTAGGTGGCAAACGAGCGAGCGGCCACCTGAAATCGCGGAAATAGCGAAGTGACCGTTGCCCATAGACGTACGCAATTGCATATGCGTTGTCTTTAATCGACGAAAGAGAGGATGCACGGAAAGAAAATATTTTCCCTTCCTATGCATCCTCTCATCCGGAAAGTCCACTTCCACTTCAAATCCTTTCCTTATAAGAAAAAGGGTGGGAAGGGAAAGAGGACTAAATTAGGCCTCCTGGACGCACATTCATCAGACGAAACGCGGAATAGCTTCCACTTAACGCATGTCTTCTGTGTGGTCGTGGTATTTCACCGGGCGAGCCGGGACAATTCGTGCGAAGATGTTAAAGCGGGCTCTACCACTGTTAACATAAACTTTACTTGATTAATTTAAATTTCAAAAATAACAGCTAAATAACTTTCTAGACAACATTACTATGGGCTATAAATCCTATTAACAACCAAAAAACTTGTACATAAACAATTTCTAGATAAACTAAAATATGGATTATAAATCGAACTGGCCATCAATAGACAATTTATTGCGTTCAAAAATGAAACAATAACAATATGGCCGATCGGAAACAGTTTCCCGCGCATAGAACTGTCAGTGTCAATATCGAGTGAGTGAAAATGGTGACTTTAATGCCGTGCAGTTACCTCGGCGGTACATCCCCGCGCTGCAGCCTGGACCACAACGAGCCGAAGGTCAGATTAAATTATAATAAAAGCACTTAATATTCACAAATATTTATAAAAATGCACTGCACAATGTTCAAATTACATAAAAATTTCGTACTTTGTTGTTTTTTTCTGCATGGTGTTGGCATGACAAAGGTTCTTGGTATTCTGCCAATTTTTTTTTCTAGTTTCGGCACAAGCTTTTTTTATTTTGCACATTTTAATTTAATCTAGATTTTCCCTTAATCTAATATAAAATCGATTATTATTATTAATTACTGTCTTATTACTCTTGCTATAATGATTATCATACTATGCTAAATTACGAGGATACGTTTTAAATTTTACGTAAGCGAAAACTTTGTAAGCTTAAAAAAATAAATAGAACTGAATTTGAACACGACTTTTGTCTTAATTTAAACATTCCATTTAAAAAAAAAACAATCTTCATTTGTCTTGTCAAATAATTTCAAATATGGAACACATAAAACAACACCTAAATTTTATCGTCCATACGAAATACCAACAAGCACTCGCATGTATGTTTATGTTCTCCTAGTGGTACGTCGGATCTCATGTTACCCCATTCATACGTTAATCTTTAGGGGCCCATTAAAGTCTCGTAACCTGGTACCTACGGGACAGTGCGTCGTTAGCAACTGATACCAGGCGGTCATAACACCGAGGAGTTCGTTTACAAATCGTTGATCATTTAAGTTGCGACGAATATGACACTGGCTGAAGTTTATCTGACGGGTCTTATTGCAAGGATGCGATTAAAAAATAGATTTTTTTTATATCATAAGATGGCAATCGAGCGGCCAGCTGTATTCGCTGAAATAGCGAAGCGACCGTTACCCATAGACATACGCAATTGCATATGCGTTGACTAACTTTAATCGACGGAGCAGGGGATGCACATAATATTTTCCCTTCCCATGCATCCTCAACCTGAAAATCTACTTTCAGTTCCCATCTTTTCGTTATAACCGGGGATCTATATCACCGGGACGCACACTTAGCAGACTGTAGTTAGAATTGCTTCTACTTGACGCCTGTCTTCTGTGTGGTCGTGGTATACCGGGCGAGGCTAATCCGTGCGAAGATGTTAAAGCAAGCTCTACCACTGTCAAAGTTTTTATACAACTTTGACGTTATAAAACTGAGAAATACAAAACCATTGATAAGGTAAGTAAACTGGACTATCGCGTACATCTCGCGTAATAAATCGCGATGCGCTATCGAGATGTACATTCGAAAGAGTTTATTACCTATCCACTTTAGTGAAATTTCATTTGACGTCAATAATACAAGAAGGATCTTGTTACTTTTTTTTGACATTGAAAGAATGGCGCTAGTGAGCTGTCATTATTTAATTTGACTTTGCCATCAGGTAAATAACTTTGTCGGTCTATACGTACTTAATAGCTCTTATGGTTGCAGTTTAAAGACGCAAAAAGTTGGCATATCAAATTGGAAGTCCGTGGCCAGTGATAGACCGAGGTGGAAAAAGTTGCTGGACCAAGGCAAGGCTCACAGAGGGCTGTAGAGCTAGAAGTAGAAGAAGATGGTTGCAGTTTGATACAATACTTAGTGGGAAGCGAATTTAATTCTTTGGCTATATCGCGTATAATAAATCGTATCGCATTGCGTTCTCGTAGCGAACAAATTGTTTTTATTGCGGCCATCGCTGGGTGGCGCTGTACCTCTTTCGCGCCTTTTATTTAAACAAAACGTTTATTGAGAATGTTTACTTTTTAATTTAATTTGTTATTGTTTTATTGTTGGTGACAATTTATTTAGTATAAAGAACATTATTCTCGTAACTTAACTAAGAATATAATCGAATAAGCGGTGGAGACTAACATCTCTCGTCGAATATGCTCTCCTGGTACGTGCTGGAGGACAATACTAGTTCTCTTCCCCTTCCCACGCTTTTTTAAATAAAACTATGGGAATAGGAAATAGAATGGGTAGAGACGAATAGTAATTTTCTATTTGCCCTGTCATTTAATGCTGCTTAAGCGATTTGTTACGAATATACGCAAAGGTAATTTCGATGGCCATTTTCGTTTGTCACAAGAAAAACTTCATAGCTTAGAGACTTCTATACACCTATGAATACACGCACGATTGTTAAACTAGTTTTTTTTTAACTAGTTTTTTTTTTTCAAGGTTTTTTCTTTTTCAAGACAGTTTAGGACTTTATAATGACACTGGCCACTACGTCTTGTCACGTTTTAAAAAAAAACATTGTCCCCAAAGTTACAATTACCTTTGGAATTATCAACGATAACAAAACAAATATGGCGGACGATAAATTCGATAATTTATTTAGTCGGGAGCGGGAACTGCGGGCGACGGGCGACGGGCGACGGGCCGCAGTCCCTGATCGTAAATATTAACACAGATAAAACAATAAACGAATTACGTATAAATAAATAACAGTTTTGTACCGGCTCTTGTTTAGTATACAGGGTGTTTTAAAAATCACCCGGCAATGGAATGAAAAGATGCGTCATAATGACTCATTTCGTTTCGTATAATAGAAAAATGTCAAAGATAAATTAATTTAAGTGAAGGAGTAATAGATTAATATTCTGTGAGATATAAATCCTTGCTAATTATCTCATATGACACGAAAACATTTGAAGTCAAAGATGAAAGCTGCTATTTTTATTTGCAGAAAAAAGTATAACAAAAGAATAACGTGTGCTTAAAATAAAAAAAAATATAAAATTCTTTTTATTCGAAGTTTAAGTGTTTTAGAACACGCCGTATAACAAATGATCCCAAAGCGCTCGAGCGCGTTGTCGCCGCGTAAAGCGTATAAATTAATGCGCGCTATCGCGAGATCGGCCTCACACCTCGCTCGCCTCGCGGGACCCGCAAGTGATTTATGCCCTTTCTCACACCCACCCCACCCTTGACTTATGAACGCCTGGTACATCCAGACCTCGCCAGCCCCATAATAACCACTAAAGACAAACTGCCCAACAATACTTGGAACGATTTGATTGCTCTTTAGTACCATAGATTATTTATTTTTTTAATTTCTATTTACTGTTTTTTTTTCTTTTTCAATGTATTTTTTTACAAAAAACTTGACAAACGTAATTTCTATATAGACAATTTGCTATCACCTATTACTATAAAACTAAACGTAATTTTTAAAGCAGTACAAAATTTACGATACAAATTAATCTACAAGTTAAACAAACTCTCCTATAAAAGTAGATAAGACGTGAAAACATTTAATTAGAAGAATTTAAGATTGAAAGTTAAAATGATACATAAAATAAAGAGAATAGATTCTGTTATCATATCACAGATTAAAAAAGTCCGTATATCAAATGAGACACAGTGGCGCCCCCAAAAGGTTGTTAAATAAATACGGCTTGATTTTATTAATGTTCTTGTTATAATCTTGATCAAGAAGACGCGACGTTTAAGAGTTTTATTATTTATAACCTTAAGTTATCTTAAATCTTGTTGTTAGTTTGGAAAAATTGGGATTGTTAAAATTTTAACATGGGTTAAAGTTTGTTGACATTCTCATTTGGTATGTATAGCGTGACCAGGGTGTTAGGAATGCACGAATATTTTTCAAGTTATGACACTGGTTTGAGAGCTGGCTAGAGAGAGCCGGTGGCTCAGGAGTCCAAGCACTTGACTTGCAATCTGCAGGTCCTGGGTTCGAATCCCGCCATGTACTGTTTTTCGATTTACATATATACATTTATCCGACGTTCTTACGGTGAAGGAAAACATCGTGATGCTGCACATATCTGAGAAGATATTCAAAGATATGTGTAAAGTCAACCAACCCGCACTAGGCCAGCGTGATTGACTATGGCCTAATCCCCCTTACCTTAGAGTAGGCTCCGAGGCCCTCGGTGGGGACGTATAGTGAGCTAATGATGATGACACTGGTTTCATTTGACTACGCACTGCTTCTTTTTTTTAAACCAGATGATAGCTTGATCAAACAAATCAGTCAAACATCGAACGATAAATAGAAGAGCTTACGCGTGAGAATTCCTAATGACTTAAAAATAGTCCAATTTTTAAGATTGCTAACCTATCCAGAGACAACGTGGATTGAAACCTTCTTAGCACATAACTGTCGCGTTTTATTCCCTCATTATTTATTAAAGTACTGGCAACTAACATATTAAATATAATATACGAACAATCAAAAATGTCAAATATCTATTTTATGTATGAAAATTCACGCAATTGTGAATGCAAATGGTAATATTAAATCGTTATCACAGCGAGATGTTATAAGTTATGTTGTCTTAGTACACAGCGTTGTAACAAATATAATATCACGACATTATAATGTAAAAAGGTAGACAGAGATCGCAGAATATTGGCATCTCGAGCTGAAAGAAATTCATAATCTTACTAATATTATAAATACGAATGTTTTGATGGACGTTTGTGAGATGGTATCTTCAGAACTGTTGCATGGATCTTGATGAAATTTGGCATAGATATAGAACATAGTCTGGAAGAACACATAGGCTACTCATTATGTTTTTTTTTAATTCCGCGCAGACGGAGTCTCAAGCGACAGCTAGTTATAAGAAAGGGCGTTAATTACTAATTATCTGTTGAAAAAAATATTCAGAAATATTTACGTAATTTTTTGATTTTTTTTACCCTTACATTATGGCTTTTGATGTACATTCTTCATCATCGTCATCAGCTCACTATACGTCCACACCGAGGGTCTCGGAGCCTACCCTAAGTTAAGGGTAATTAGGCCATAGTCAACCACGCTGACCAAGTGCGGGTTGACTTCACACATATCTTTGAATTTCTTCTCGGATATGTGCAGCATCACGATGTTTTCCTTTACCGTAAGAATGTCGGATAAATGTACATATGTAAATCGGAAATCGAAAAAACACATTGGTACATGGCGGGATTCGAACCCAGGAGCTGCAGATTGCAAGTCAAGTGCTTGACCACTGAGCCACCGACGCTCCACATTATATACGCTGTTTACTAGGTATTAAGAAGCCTATGTTCTTCCACACTATGTTCTACATCTATGCCTTATTAACATCCATCTAAACCAGTCTTTCCCAAAGTGTGCGATAACGCCCCCTTGTGGGCGCTGCAGGTTTCAAGTTGCGGGTTATAGTAAAAGTTTCGTTTAGAATTCTCCGTTAATATACATATATAGGGTCACAATAATTAATTAATTTAATTTGAAGTTATAGTGGTTTTTAAATATGTGAAAATATGAGGGGCGCTAAAAAAATATTCTCAAAGTGGGCAGTAGACAAAATAAGTTTGGGAACGACTGATCTAAACGTTTATATTACTAATAAGATAAATGTATTAATTTAATGTCTATTTTGTTACAGGCAAAAAGGCCAAGACCTGATACAGGCACTGATGTTCGGTAAGTAAATTAAAGTCTATTTAAATTAGTCGCACTTAAACATTAATTAAGAAATATATTTATTATTTTAAAGACGATTTACAAAACATCAATTATAGTTAATCTTAAGCAAATATTATCAAATAGGATAATATGCCTTTAACAAACTCAATTACGTTTAAAGACTTTTGTAATAAAGATAGTCTAGTCTTAGAAAAAATATAGACAAAGTAGCTGTCGCCCGCGACTTGTCCGTGGAGAATTAAAAAAAAATAGTAGCCTATGTGTTCTTCTAGACTATGTTCTATATGTATTCCAAATTTCATTGAGATCCGTTCAGGCATTCTAGAGATACCTTCAAACATCCATCCATCTAAACATTCGCATCTATATATATAAAAGAAAGTCGTGTTAGTTACACTATTTATAACTCAAGAACGGCTTTACCGATATGCCTGAAAATTAGTGAGGAGGTAGCTTAGAGCCAGGAGACGGACAAAAGATACTATTAATTCTTTTTTTTTTAGAATTTATGTCTTGAAAATGCTCCTTTTCATTTAACTTACTAATATTATAAATGCGAATGTTTATGCGGATGGGTGGGCTACACTAATTAAGTTTTTTTATATAACCACGCGGACGGAGTCGCGGGCGACAGTTAGTTTATAATATTAGTAAGATTGTGAACCTCTTCCAGTTTGAAGTTATAAAATAAACTTTAAAGTTAACTGTTTAAATGTAAATTTTAATATAACTAGTAGCCGTAGCGATTTAATTTACATAGACTGACTTTATGGGTAATCATAAAATAAACGGTACATCATAGAGCTTAAGCCGGCTTTCCACTACGCTTTGAATATTTCTTAATCATAAATATTTATAAATAACATGGCAACACCAGCCGCTAATAAAAAAAATAGTAGCCTATGTGTTCTTCCAGACTATGTTCTACATCTATGCCAAGTTTAAGCAAGATCCATGCCACAGTATTGGAAATACATCGTAACAAATATCCATCGACAACCTGCCCTCATCTCTATTGAGGTTCGGCACAGTATGTACTACTCCATACATCTCTTTCAGTCGTCATATCCGAATCTACCCCCTTCCATTCCATACTTTTTTTGGTCTTCCTCTACCTTTGTAGCCATCCACATTCAATCTCATTACTGTTTTGCTTATATCATCATCATTCCTCCTCATAACATGTCCAAACCACGCTAATCTTTTACTCCTCAATTTCTCTATCACTGGCGCTACTTTCAAACTTCCAAGTCCATCCATTCGCATTTATAAAATTAGTAATATAGTAAGGTTACTCGTTTGAACAACGAGTTAACAGTCGGTTATAATTTATCCAAACTTAACTCTAGTTAGCAGAAGTTTTATATTTATTCCAATTAAATGTTTGGTAGGAAAATTGAAATATTTATAAAACCATCATTAAGATGATAATATTTTTACGATAATAGTCGAACGGGATTCGAACTCTCGACCTGATCGGAAATCCGTACTTTTAACCAATTAGGCTTCTTATTTTCTCTACAGTTGATAATGTAAGATATTGCATCTCTTTCACTCTCTTTAAAAAGACAAAGACAATGATATGTTTGAATACAAAGTACAATTTCACAGTATGTTACTGGCAGTTTAAAAATATAATTAAAAAAAATAAATAATTCCGATTTTAAATCTCTCAATCTACTACATAACAATGTAAGGGATCGATAATCCTCGACTAATCCGTACATTGTCGGTACACAATTGCCGTGAAAAGAGATGCTCAATACAAACTCTTCAATGGAACACGCCCCAGTTTTTATAAACGCATTATCACGCTTCGATCAAAGGAAGTTCAGGTTTTATATTACAGTGGTAAAGCTTAGAAACGTTTAACTTTTTTTCAGTACTCTCGCTTTCCGCCAGTACCGAAATGTTTAAAATCAAATAAGCACAAAATACAACAGTTCATAGCATATCCATTTATAGAAGTTTACTAAGTTCTATGAAAAAAAAGTGTAGCCAGCCAGCAACCAACAATTTCCTTAGCTGATATTAGCAACAATTGTCCCATTTGTTAATACGTAAATTTGTTTTCAATTAATCAAAATTAATATACTGATGACATAAGTAACTCTAAAAACGTCATCAATTATTTAAATAGGAGACTATTAAGATCTATCCGACTAAAAAAAGATAAATGTATTTTGGTATTCGACAAGGCGCATACCAATTTAAGCAACGAATTAGTCGGGTTAATTAGTGGTTAACGCACGACGTTCCGTTTTTTATCTGTGGATGATTATTCGTTTTAAAATAAACAGTTGTACATTCCTGTCGAATATAAATCAAGTTTCCGAACCGATTTCGTTACGCGGTTTTATTTTTTTCTATTGACAGCCAGGATTCGAAGTGTCAAATGGCATTTGTACTTTTTTAATTTGTTTCCTCTCATTATATTATCTGTTCCTTTTTTAAAAAGAATTTTAGGCAAAGGAACTTTATTTGGTTATACACATTTGTTTATTAAAAATTTAATTTAAATGTTTACTTTGACCGCGCGGAATTATAAAAACTTAATAGCGGACCCGACAGACGTCCTGTCTACACGTCTTTAATTTGAATATTATTTAAAATTTGACACTGCGATGGTAGAGCCGTCTGTCGGATCCAATGTAAAACATTCCAAAATCAACAACTACTAATAAATTAAAAATCAATTAATAAAAACATTGTCCAGCGGACAAAATTGTGAATCTAAACCATTCCCAGATCTCCTTGAACACACACAAAAAAATTCAACAAAATCGGTCCAGTCGTTTGAGAGAAGTTCAGTGACATACACACTCACAGAAGAATTATATATATAAAGATAGAAGTCTATGTGTTCTTCCAGACTATGTTCTACATCTATGCCTAACTGTTAGTGAAATCCATATAGCCTGGAAATACCTTTTAATAGTCATCTAAACATTCTCATTTATAATATTAGTAAATTTAAAACATATTGTTGTCTCCAGTTTTTCAATGATAATGAGAGAGATGACAAGTTTAAATTAATATTAAAAATTATGACAGATGTCTGTATGGAAATCTTATTCATTTTAATTATGTAATAACCTATATTTAATCATTTTGACGAAACCTCACTGGCATTCGGGTCATTTGTTTTAAAAGACATCTGTTTTTTTTTTCGTTGTAATTTTTGGCAGTTGACAAAAAAAAATATAAGAAGCAATTAATAGAATCTGAACGCAGCCGAGCGGTTGACACGTGGAAGCCAAATGGCGGTTTGTAAAGGAACTTTTAGGGTTACTTATAATAATATTAACTCTTTTAAACACATTTTGACAATTTTGCATACCGTATGACATACATCTTACTGCGTGTTTCTTACTAATATTATAAATGCGAATGTTTAGATGAATCTTTGTTAGAAGATATCTCCAAAACGGCTTTATAGATCTCGCTGAAATTTGGCATAAACGTAGAACATAGTCTGGAAGAACATATGGGCTACTAATTAAGGTTTTTAATGCACGCGCACGGAATCGCGGGCAAAAGCTAGTGATAAACATACAAAGGTAACGATACTAGAATTCAAAAAAAATAGTAGCCTATGTGTTCTTCCAGACTATGTTCTATATGTGTGCCAAATTTCATCGAGATCCGTCCAGCAGTTCTGGAGATACCTTTAAACTAACATCGATCTAAACATTCACATCTATATCTCTTATATATATAAAAGAAAGTTGTGTTAGTTACACTATTTATAACTCAAGAACGGCTTTACCGATATGACTGAAAATTGATGAGGAGGTAGCTTTGAGACAGGAGACGGACATAGGATACTATTCATTTTCTTACGCATTTATGCCTTGAAGAGTTACTATTTATTTAACTTACTAATATTATAAATGCGATTGTTTAGATGGATGTGATGTGGATGGATGGATGGGTGTTTGAAGATATCTCTAGAACAGTTGAACGGATCTCTAGTAAATTTGGCATACGTATAGAACATAGTCTGAAAGAACACATAGGCTACACTAATTAAGTTATTTTATATATCCACGCGGACGGAGTCGCGGGCGACAGCTAGTTTATAATATTAGTAAGATATATTGCATTTAAATCAGTGATGTTTAAATAGAGTCATATAACAAAAACAAATCAATATTAACATTCGCTGATATAAGCGAAACACATTGTTACTAGTTATGTTAATAATCATTTTAATATTTATTTTAAATGCAATTTAAAACATAGTATCTGTTCATACAGAGCATCGGTAGCTCAATGATCAAGCACTTGACTTGCAATCTTCAGCTCCTGGGTTCGAATCCCGCCATGTACCAATGTGTTTTTTCATTTCCGATTTACATATGTACATTTATCCGATATAACGGTGAAGGAAAACATCGTGATGGTGCACATATCTGAGAAGATCAAAGATATGTGTGAAGTCAACCCGCACTTGGCCAACATGGTAGACTATGGCCTAATCACCCTTAACTTAGGGTAGGCTCCGAGTCCCTCAGTGGGGACGTATAGTGAGCTGATCTGTTCATACAACAATATAGTTGACTAAGCGAAGACGAGTAGGATTTTTGCGTAAAACGACACGTCCATTGTAAAAACTTAGTAGTAATTTTAAAAGTAAGAAGGCATGTTACATCTGCATTTTATTCTATACTAGCTAACGCCCGCGACTTCGTTAACGCGGAATTAAAAGAAGCCTATAATATTCCTGCATACATTAGCTACTTTCCTAATAATCAGGTAACACCCAATCCGGTAATAATAACGAAGTAACGGCCCGTGCCGAGGTTCCTGAGGGAACCCTCGGGCTTAGTTACTCTTAAACGAGGTTTAGGCTAATTGCCATCTGCGTTCAGCCACCTCAAGCCCGGTGAAGCTGTAAATGCCTCCTCAAGGCAAACAGTGGCAATACAGTCACAAAAAAAATGACAAAAACAACGTCAAAATCGACACTGGACATTTTTTTCGATGACACATACATACACTAATGTATATATATACATGTATAGATGGATTGTAGAAGTTATTGATAATAGACATTTTTTTTAATAATTTTAGCGAATGTTTACAACGGCAGCTTGTATCTTGATGAAATTTGACATAGATGTAGAACATAGTCTGGAAGAACACATAGACTACTAAGTTTTTTTTAATACCGTGCGTATGGAGTTGCGGGCGACATATAGTGACTTAATATGAATCAGTTTCACTTATGTGCTTAGTTAAGTTAAATCTAAACATTAATATAATCATTGTAAGTGTTGTTTCGTTGTTTATTGTAAGGAACCCTTGACTTAACGCGTTGTTTATTTTGTAGAAGTGTGCCGGCCATTGTGCCCTTGAGTGCAGGGCACGGGGCGGTAAGAGTCTTATTGTTCTCAACAGTTGCTAGGGATTTGGTAGGTTATTAAAGGATACAAGCAGTGGTATTTAGGGTTGCCAAATATACAGATTTGATGCGATTTATTCCGATTTGAGTTCAACATCTACGTGTTCGCTTCGGATTAATAAAGTAAAAAAGTCACTTTTTTTGACAGTTGTCCTCTCTTGTTTTTCGCTACGAGTTTTCGAGTTTATGTCCATTGAACGTTAGCAACCATAGTCATAGTGATTAATTAAGTATATAACATTAAAAAATATATAAAATTCTCGTGTCACAATTTTCGTTCCCATACTCCTCTGGAACGGCTTGACCGATTCTCATGAAATTTTGTGAGCATATTGAGTAGGTCTGAGAATCGGCAAACATCTATTTTATAATCACGCGCGGACGAAATCGCGGGCGACAGCTTGTTTAAATATTTATCAGCACAATAAATAAATTTATCAATCATCTCAAATAACATAAAATGCGTTAACTCTGTCCGCTGGCTGAACACGGATGGCCTTTGTCTAGAAAAAAGAACCCTTGTTTATATTAGTTCGCGCCTTTTTCAAGTGTCACTTTGCTTTTTGCCGCCACATCGAGAGTTGCGTTCAAACAACACTATCGTATATCAAAAGAACTTTAGGACCCCGGAATTTCTGGCATTATTGTCACTATCTTTTTAATTGAAAGCTTTTTTTAATGTTTTCGGCTCCTTTTCAAATAAGATTTTTATGCAGTAGTCATCGTAAAAACAGTTTTAAAATTGTCTAACAAAAGACTTCAAAGCTTTTAAGATCGAGCAATGAGTGACAATCCATATGGTTGGATGATTTACTTGTCACAGTTTTCCGTTTGACTGCCAGTACTTTATTCTTTAGTAAAGTTATTGTTTTATTGGCCCTAAATGCGTGATATCTTACTAATATTATAAATGCGAATGTTTAGATGGATGTTTGGTAAGGTATCTTCGTAACGGCTCAACGGATCTTGATGATATTTGGCATAGATGTAGAACATAGTCTGAAAGAACACATACGCTACTAATTAAGTGTTTTTAAATCCCGCTCGGACGGAGTCACGGGCGACAATTAGTCATATTATAAATGCGAATGTTTCGATGGATGGGTTGATAGATATTTGTTTGAAGGTATCTCCTGCATTGTTGGATCTCGATGAAATTTGGAATACATATGGAACATAGTAGGAAGAACACATAGGCTACTAATTTTCTTTTTTTATTCCGCGCTGATGGAGTCGCAGGCGACAGATAATATATTACATATACGAAGGTTTTAGTAATTATTAATTAAACTTCAACAAGTTACATTTTATAAACAGGCAACCGATAAAAAAAAGATAAAAGCACTAAATGCTATTTAAATTGGAGTGACGTCACGCATCTGTCACATGTGACAGCGCGGGAGTTTGATTAAATGGCGCGAGCGAGCAGCCGTTGATAACGAGCTGAATTAATTCGAACACGTGTAAACATTTTGTTAGATAAAATTGACACGAGGGGCGCGGGCGTTGGCATGTGTTGTTTAATTTCGATGATTTGATTTTATGGTCGTAATTTAAAAATTAAAAAAACAAATAGTGATTAAGCTTTGGAGTTGTCATAATTGTTATTATCTTTTTTATTGCTGTCACACTGGCCAGTTATAATAGTGTACTGGTGACAATATGACAACTTATTTCTCTAATTCACTCGTATAAATTCAACTGAAGCTTTCGTTTAACGATTTAACGATTAGTACCTGGATGAAGCTTTGCTCGGTATTTTTTTTTCAATTGTGTTTTTTGGAAATTATATTTAAGTACGAATTACTAATAAAATGATGCAATATGAATGTTTTTCGATCTTACCGATAGAAAAAGTTAAGTTCATGTTTAAGTTGATTATCGATAAACACGAATAAAATGACATTTTCTAAAAATGATTCCTAGCTAGATTTATCGCCCCCGAAACCCCCTATATACTAAATTTTATGAAAATCGTTGAAGCCGATTCCGAGATTCCAATTATAAATATATAAAAGAATTGATCATTTAAAGATATAAGATACAATCGATATTTTACATAAATATATCTAAAGTACTGAAAATAATCGATTAAAAGATTATTATTATGTATCTACAAAAAGTTAAGACACGAACTGAACCAAGAACGCGAGATTTTCAAATTCTAGGGCCTAAAATAATCCAACGTAGAATCTAGGGCTCTGTCAAATACTTTGTTTCCTTAACCATTAGTAGCCTGATTTACATACGAAAGTGATTTATTTTTAACATTACTGTGTTTGCTTGATAAAATAAAACAATAATGAAATTTGTTTTTTTTTTTAATTTCGTTGGAAAGAATAATACAACAGTAAAATAGGTTCAGCCAACCTATAAAAAAAACTAATAGTATTGTGAACAATCGGTTTAAAAGATTGGTTTCAAAATTGAAACTCTAGGCTACTAAGGGCTAAAGCCACTGAGCTATAGTTATTATTTCTACACTTTTCTTGGTGTAAGAGAAAGCATGTGTGTGGATAGTAACAACTAAATATTGGAAGATTTCGTCGTGTTGGAATTTCAAAATTTTTCGATAACTAAACTTTAATATTGAATAGTTTTAAAACGCTTTGCCGTGTGCGTAAGTATCGATTAATTAAGCCATTCGAAAAACAATAAAAAGAGAAAAACGTAGGAATTACAAACGCATCAAAAGTTTTGATTGCGCTTTTTCCTTCCGAAATAAAGACATCGAGGGCGTGTGTTTATAAAAAGACGTTTCCCCGTAAACAAAGATCGGAGTTTAATGGATTTTTTTATATCCATTGTTGTGTTAAACCGACATTGTTTTGTTTAAGACGTTCCGTTTGACGTAAACTGAATTGTAAGTGATCGTTTGGACATTTAACTAATTGCTTGTTTATACGTTTTATCCTCGTAATATAAGAGTGATGATGAATTTGTTAAGGAAATAGATTAACTTCCTGCATTTTAAGATATTTCTGAATATCCCGTGGAAACGATAAAACATAAATAAAGACAAGCAATAGATATATTAGTTGAGTTATTGTAAATTGTAGGCAAATTGAATTACAATTTTTTTTATATCGTAAAGTGGTAAACAAGCGAGCGGCCACCTGAAATCGCTAAAATAGCGAAGTTACCGTTGCCCGTAGACATACGCAATTGCATATGCGTTGCCTACCTTTAATCGACGGAGGAGAGGATGCATAGAAAGAAAATATTTTCCCTTTCCATGCATCCTCTCATCTGGAAAGTCCACTCCCACTTCAAATCCTTTCCTTATAAGAAAAAGGGTGGGAAGGGAAAGAGGACTAAATTAGGCCTACGGGACACACACTCATCAGACGAAACGCGGAATTGCTTCAACTTTACACCTGTCTTCTGTGTGACCAATTCGTGCGAAGATGTTAAAGCGAGCTTTACCACTGTTTATCTTTGTTTTAGTATTAATCAAAATGTCTGTATCCCTCGTCCAAGAAATTATTATAACCATATCTCATTTAATTAGAAGTTAATTTTCCTATCCTTGTTACCAGATTATCCGGCGACAACAACACTAGTCCCTGCGAATCAGAATCGACGTCAGAATCGCCGCCATCTTTGTTACAAGATGCAACACTTCCCGCGCTTTTAGTGACAGGCGCGTCAACCCTGTTCCAAGCAACGACGTCAAATAGCTCAGCTCTCAGTCTAACTGACAGCTTGAGTTTGCCACAAGAAGACTGTAGTTTGGCCAATGGTTGTACGAACGCATTGAGTGGTCTAGCTCTACCGCTGACGTCAACAGGCTTGTGTTCTACGACGTCAAGCTCAGCTGTAGCCTGGTTAATGAATGACGATAGCACGGGTAAGTTTTTTTTAATAAAGGCAAAGGCACTATTGGTTGACAGCCATTGATCACTATAAATGGACTGGCTATACGATGTAGTGTTTTGTGCGCATTTGATTTAAACAATTAGTGTTGACAGTATCTAAATATTATAGACTATTATTTAGAGTGACACAGATTATATAAGTAGTGTAAAATGATCGTAAGGATAGTAAATATAATTTTTTGCACAAATCTATGTTATTTTTGAATTTCATAGACGTAAGTTTATAATTAAAATTATGAATATCTTATAATATTTGTTAATAGTGATGTGTTTTAACTATTATAAAGGTTAAACAGTTTAACAAATACATTAATTTTAATTTCGCATTAACACGAAATACATTCGGACGTTTTGAATATAAAATTAATTCCAAAATATTCCGGTAGGTCTTAATGATATCTTTTAATTCAATTTTATCGATTTATTAACATTTAAATAATAATTACATTAAATATATGCAAGGTATGTTAATTAGTGATTGCAAGATAATAAAAAGAAAAATTTATTGATATTAGATGTTTGGTTTTTTTTTTATTAAGATTAATATTTTTAAAGTAATACATAAATCATAATATTATATTAGCATTTTAATCATTGCTTAAGAATAAGAGAATAAACAAAAAGTGAAAAAAAATTATTTTGTATGTGTTTTTCATATTGTCAAAAAGTACAAGTACCAGGACATCATAAGTAACAAAGAGGTTATATGCAGGTGGTGGCGTGAAGAGCGAGGTGCGCAGCCCAGGCCTGTGTGAGGCGGACGCGGCGCTTTACGGCGAGACGCTGCCCTACGACCAGTCCGCGCTGCCTTACCAGTATTATAATAGGTAAAAACTATCGTATAGTCAGTTTATAATCTGACTAATACTGTAAAAAGTGCCTAAACGCTATTTGAATTATTGAACATAAATATATCCTTTTTATGATATTATTATAGATAGTTATCTTGCCGCGGAAGTGGAGTCTCGTAAACTTTCCACTTTGTATGGCTTCACACAAATCCTTATAAGCCGGTTTACCTTTTATATTCAGCCTGTGGTTGTGTTTTATTTATAAATTAAATAAGTGAGACAGTAACGTCTAACATTATCCAAAAAATCTGAACTAAAAATACATTTAAGTTTTACTTACAACTTATTAACTGCACTCAGAGTCAGATAAGTGTACTTTGTGTACTTATAAGTAATCTACATTAAAAATGTTGGCTTTACAAGTCATGGTCCTTTGCCTTTTAAATTACATTTAATTTTATTGTGTTGGCAGTATGCAGCAATATGGCGGCGGAAGTGCGGCTTCGTCGTATGTCAGCTCTACGCTATACAACCAGCCCTACGCGGCTTATCCTCCACCACATAACACTAACAATAGGTAAAGAACAGGCATATTTCTAACTATCATAAGAAATCTGAAAGATCATGTAAAGGGGGTGATTTTTATACAAATTTAACAATAGGCTAATGGAAATTGAACCCAAGATAACAATAGATTTTGTCTATGGTAAAACGTCAATTTTCTGTTAAGATTAACAAGAGAAAAATCTTTAACATTGGCAACTTAATTCGCAGATCGTCATGTAAGGCCACGCCAACATATCTGAGTGCGTACAGTATGGGCGGTGTGGGCACGGTGCCCAGTACGGGCTTCGCGGCACAGCCCTCCCCGTACGCGTACTCCTCCTACAACGGAGGGCTGGCACAATCCTTTCCTAATGCACAACAGGTACGTATGGAATTACAAATATAATTAAATTAAAAAAAAAACACAATTTCTTGTTGTTTAAATGTGTTATAATATATTCATAAACTTAATTTTAGTATGATTTTAGTGTTGTACGAAATATTACGTATGGACAAAATACAATATTTTTTTTCTTTTAGTGATAATCCTATAAAGTTTATTATGGTTAAATTGTTTAAACTTCATATGTATTATTTGTATTCCTTTATAATAAAATTAGTAACAATTTCAGGATTATAGCAGTTACGCATCGGGTTACGCTGACCACAACGTGGCACAGTACGGAGGATATTACGCCACTCCGAGCTACTCTCCTTACGTCAGCTCGCCCAGCAGCAGTGGCAGCGCCGGACATACTTCATATCTCATCGGCGGTGGACTATCAGGTAAAATTTACCGTCAAAATCCATGGCGAATGTGTCCATATGCAATAATTAATAAGGTTTTTAAAGCAAAGTTTTCATTTTACATAATCTATAACATTATTAACTTTTTGAATCTGTGGCCACGTTTGTCATATGTCACATTTGTTTTGACTCGGTTTGACAATGTCATTGTAGTTTATTTTGTTAAAATTTTAAAAGCTGTAAACTACATGAAACATTGTTTAAAGTAAATAATTGTACAATAGTTTTTAATTAACAGAACGTTAACTTTTAATTTGCAGTTCCGTTTTAACATTTTTGTGACTTTCGAGTGTTATTTAGCTTTTATAAAATGAAAAAAGATTCAGAAAACAATTGTCCTATAAAACGAAGAAAACTTAGTGATAGTGTCGAGCGAAATGTTGACGATAATTCTGATTACTGGCCTGATTCAGAAAGTGATAATGGTAAACTGTATTATATTGAATATAGAAATTTTTAAGTTACTTTTGGTGTTAAAGAATTAGTTTTCTCTTGTGTAAAGTTAATTGTAAAAGTTGTACGAAAGTTGTTCACGAATTAAGATTCACATAAAATAAACTTATAAAGTCTAATTTTTTCATATTTTATTATAACAAGAATACTCAGTTTGTAAAACATATACCAACATGAGCTGTAATAAACAGAAAGAAATTTAAAATTATTAGTAAATGTTTACTAACAATGAACTTCAAAATTACTAAATTTAACAATAAAATTACGATTGTCTAAATGTTCTAGAATCTCCTTCATCAATGGTACCTGCAATAAATGACACCAGCCCGCTCTCTCCCATCAAAAATGAAGTACACGCAGCCAGTAGGAGATGCAGAGAGAATTCCGGGTAAGAAATTACAGCATTAAATACAAAGAAAGCCTGTCTGATGTTAAAGAAACAATAACTATAGAAATCTGAAACATAATCAGCAAATTTTCATTAGATGTAAAAATTTCTTGTTTCCACAAATCCTCCCATGGAAATCTAACATTCCTTCCCATACTTATAATATCAGGACAGAGTAGGAAGAGATGGATGACCAACTTTAGCTTTCAGGATGACATTAAACAGATAACTTAAACTAGATCAACTTAAACTTCCTTACAGTTGTGAAATTTCTTTTGTTTTTAATAACATTACTAATATTAAATCTCCAGAGAGAGCACGGCTAGCAGATCACGAGGCAGAGGCAGACGGAACACGTCGTCATCGCCCGCACAACATGTTCCCGAACCATCCACTGAGAGAGTGTTCATATGGGACTTGGATGAGACGATTATTATCTTCCATTCACTACTCACTGGCTCTTTTGCTACTAAGTACAATAAGGTATGTTTGTTTTATTTATATAATTTCTTAACATTATAAAATAGCGGTCAACCATGACTCCGTCAGCGCAGAATTAAGAAAACATTATTAGTAGCCTATTTGTTCTTCCAGAATATGTTCTATATCAAGTCCAAATTACAGTGAAATGCAGCCGTTCTGGAGATACCTTCTAATAAACATCTATCCATCCATACATTTGCATTTATAATATTAGTAAGACGTAAAAGTATGGATGTTTGTTATCACATAACTCTAGAAAGACTAAACGGATGTGTATGGAATTTACCAACAAAAAATGTCTGAAAAATAAATTGATTGACACTTGACTTGTCAAAATCAGCTGTTTTTTCCCTCTTGACAGACAAGTAAAATGTCAAGTTTTTTAATGAAGTTTTTGTATACAAATAACGTACTTTTGTATGGATTGTTGTAATTCAAAGATATATGTAAAGTCAACCCGCACTTGGCCAGTGTGGTTGACTATTGCATAGTCACCCATAACTTAGGGTAGTCTCCGAGCCCCTCGGTGGGGATATTTAGTGAGCTGATGATGATGGATTGTTTGTTTCAGGACACACAGCATATAGTGCAGTTGGGTTTCAGAATAGAAGAGATGATATTCAGTTTGGCCGATGCTCATTTCTTCTTCAATGATGTTGAGGTAAGTAATTTCATGTCATCTGTTTATTATTAAAGTATATTTTTTTTGCAATTTGCTATCTTTGATTATTAAGAGACAGGACTTGCATTTCTCTATAGCATAAAATCTAAAAATTTGTAAGCTTGTGTGCTTTTCTTATTGTGTTGACATTTTTGAGTTAGTGCATTTCAGATGTTTCTTATTTATATAGTACAATATTGGCTTTACTTACTGTGGATTTCTGAGACCAAAATATCTGTATAAAACATATGATCAGAGATAATTATTAAACTGGGATTTTTTTCTCAGAAACCTACGATTAAGTTAATTTTCCTATAAGCTCTCCAAACACAATAAGCTCTCACATTAAATTAAAAAATAAACTCCCTGTGTCTGTAGGATTGTGACCAGGAGCACATAGATGCGGTAGCAGCGGATGATAGCGGACAGGATTTATCTACGTACAATTTCGCGGCGGACGGGTTCCACGCCACCGCTCCCGGGTTATGCGCCCCTGGTATGCGCGGCGGTGTCGACTGGATGCGGAAACTGGCATTCCGGTACAGGAAGATCAAGGATACATATAATAATTATAGGAATAGGTGAGTTTTTTTTATTTCGACTTTTAATACTTGTATTGAAAATATAGTCGAACCTAAAAAAGCCAGAGTTTCAAGGACTATGATATTTTTCTATTTAAACATGTTTCTAATTTTAGTTCGCCTTTGAATGTTTTTAGTCAGGACTGGAATGATTCTCGCTTGGTTCTCGCTTATTCTGGTCCTACTTTATACAGTCCACGGGACTTTTATAGAAGATATTTTTCTCTCTTATAGAAGTTTCTCTCGGACCGAATTTTCTTCACTTTTACTATAAATTTATGATTTCATTGGGATGTTAACTTAGTAACAATTTGACTTTGTGTTTATGTTATTCAATCGGTCATTAATTAAGCACTAAAAGTGTTCCTTAGTGCATTATAGATTTCATCACTGACCTCTATAAATGGACAGGCTATTAGACGTAATATTTTGTGCCTATATGATTTTGGCGTTAATCAACTGTCATATGACAACACAGCGTTTATAAAATTGTCTTTTCCAAAAAATCTAACATTTGTTAGGTTAAATCCACACTTAGTGGCAGTTAAGTGGACATTAAGAGGAATGTGAGTGCAGTAAATCTTTGTTATTGCAGTGTGGGTGGACTTTTGGGTCCAGCAAAGCGCGAGCAGTGGCTCCAGCTGCGCGCGGAACTGGAACAGGCGACAGACAACTGGCTTACTCTCGCCTGCAAGTGCCTCAATATGATTAACTCCAGGTAAATATTACATTTGCATACTTTAAATTAATACTTTGTTTATTTTTTAATAGCTGTAGCTCGTGACTCTGTCCGCGCTAAATTAAGAAACAATTTAATTAAAGATGGAGATGGAATGTTCAAAGAAAAGATTTCCCCCTTCTTATACGTCCTATAACCGTCAAAAAACACAATCAAGTACTTAAAAAAATATGTGTTGTTTAAATCCAAAAACAGCAAATATAGAAATAAACAACAAAGTGTTATTAAATTCCTCGCAGACGGAGTCGCGGGCGACAGTTAGTCATGTATTGTTTTTTTTTTAGAGAGAACTGTGTCAATGTACTGGTGACGACAACACAACTAGTGCCGGCGTTAGCCAAAGTGCTGCTGTTCGGTCTCGGCGGTGTCTTCCCCATTGAGAATATATACTCAGCTACAAAGACAGGTATTTTCATATGATTTGTATTCATATTTCACACTTTTAAATTAACCTAAAGTGATCACCTTGAGTGTCGGTGGATCAGGGGTTAATTACTTGATTTGCAATCTGCAGTTCCTGAGTTCGAATCCCGCCATGTACCAATGTGTTTTTCTATTTCCTATTTACATATGTACATTTATCCGATGTAACGGTGAAGGAAAACATCATGATGCTGCACATATCTGAGAAATTCAAAGATATGTGTGAAGTCAACCCGCAATGAGTCAGCGTGGTTGACTATGGCCTAAACACCCTTAACTTAGGGTAGGCTCCGAGACCCTCAGCGGGAAAGTATAATGAACTGATGATGATGATGATGAAATTGACCTTGAGTTTAATTAATACTAGCTCTGCCAGCGATATCATCCACTAATCTAAAAACACATTGGTATATAGCGGGATTCGAACTCAGGACATGCAGATTGCAAGTCAAGTGCTTAAAACCCTGAGCTACCGACGTTATATTCTATAGTAAAAAAAAACTGTTATTTCAAAACAAACATTCCAATTTCATTTATATGTATAGATTTACTAATAAATATATAATTTTAGGTAAAGAGAATTGCTTCGATAAGATAAAACAACGTTTCGGTGAGAGATGTACTTACGTTGTGATCGGTGATGGTAAAGATGAAGAAGCTGCTGCAAAAAACAAGAACTATCCCTTTTGGCGTATCTCAGGACATTCCGACATCGCCGCGCTATACAACGCTTTGGACATGGGCTTCTTATGATCTGCTGCTCGCCTGGTACTTCACATATTGTTCGACCCTATACATGGACAGGTTATCTCGCCTCGATTTTTTGTGCCTATTTGATCGTCGCCATTTTAGATATAGCAGGATCTTCATCAGGCGTGTTTAAGTCGGAATAACACAAATGGTGTAATTTTCAAGCAATGACCTGTCTATTTATAGTGTAGCTATTTCACATCTACTCTGTCTTATGATTTGCGTTACTCTATACTGCTGCTATCCTGGTACTTCTCACAAGAATATTGACCCTTCTGTTTCATTTTTTTATGTCCTTATCTTTTTATATCTTACGAATTTCTGCTATCCTGGTACTTTTTTAATTATTCACCTAGTTTTACTGTTGTTTGACTTTTTTTATGTCTACCTACCCTTTTTTAAAGAATCTGTTGGTTTAAGAAAGGCATAGAAAACTACAAAAATACTACAGTTTTTATATTCAGAAGATAATTTTCATTATTGTCATCTCTTTCATTCGCTTTGACAAAAGAGTATCAATATGTTATATCAGCAGTGGAAACCAACTGTAAATCCAAGACAGAGTGATTTCGTTTAGTCATATCATATTTTATCCATTTAGTTAACTAAGTTCCATTTTTAAGTACATTTTTCGTGTTTATATCAATTATATAAAAACCGCATAAATTCAATTATATTTTGTTTATAAAAAATACAATTAACTTATCAAATATTATTTAGTTTTTAAAAGCTCAAAGACAGCTCAAAACATACGAGAAAAAAAAAACTAGAAATTTTGTAAATATTTTTATCGTAATTTCATTCCTACTAAGATTTACTATGTACAGAATATTTTAGATGATTTTGGCTATAAATAAGAAATATGTGTGTTTGTTTATATTTATAATACATAAAAATACAAAGAAAAACTCTTAAACTACATTTTCACTGAAAATTTTTCTTTTTTATTATATTCTTAAACTTTAACTTTACACGAAACTAATATAATATTAATGAGACACGAAAAAAAAAAATAAACTATAAAAAATCCATTTACTTTTAAACTTTTCATAAAAACTTTTTTTTTAAATATTTTTTTAATAAACAATATTATGTTCCTCACTAACCTATAGCACAACTTTTTATACATTAAAAATAACTGGTTATTTATTATGCTAATAACGGAAAACGGCTTCAGTTTATATAACGGTTATATTTTATCTGTGCTAAGAAAAACGCGTCAAACAATTTTAAACTCTACTGCTTTTAACATAAGGCTGATTTTCATGTTTTGTTACAATATTAACACATTTATTAATTTAATTCTAATCAAATTACGTATACTATTGCCCACAAATCTTGATACATCTAAAGTGAGACAACATTCGAATTGAGTAGAAATGATATAAATGTATCTATCTCTGTCACACTTATGTAAATGTAACTCGTTAATACGTTGTCTCGCTCACTCTATCGGAAGATATTGTAGCCAATTTCATGTTTAACAATATTTGTGGTCAGTATTATGCATTATGTCGTCAGTATATGTTCCTTAGTATAAAAATTATCTATTTAGGATATACGAAAATGTACATACTGCTTTATAATTTTATCATTACATACACATATTTCATGTATGATATTTGGAAAATAGACAAAATTGTAAATTATCGTAAGACATGGAAAGTAGCAATATTTTTTTTAATAGTTAAAATTATTTTAAATGAATTGGAAATGTAAATACATATGTAGGAAATAGTTTAAATTGCTGTACGTACAGACGGAAGGAAGATTTTGCGATAATTTCGGCTAATAGACATGTAAATAAAAATATATATTATATTATTTGATCATTACTTGTGTTTTATTGTATTAAACCTATCCAATACCACCATAGAAACAACGAAATATGTGACGTCTATCATACCTTCTGTTCTGCATCACCAAACTTGATATGATGATCATGCAGGAGGGAGAGGTCGCGGTCTACGACCGCGTCATCCCCCCGCGCCGCGCTGCAGGCGGCAGAGGGCAGCCAGGACAGCACCGCGTTCCTCCCGTACTCCTCCAGGTCAGAAATCCCGTGCGAGGATATCATCGCGCCGTCGCCCCGCACCACCAGCAGCTGCGGGATGCACGTCACCTCGTGCATGTACTTCAGCTCGTGTACCAGGGTATCATCAAACCGCAGAGTGAGCCAGTCCGGCTGCTCGCCGTAAGAGGCCGCCGCGTCCTCTGCGGTGTCGTCCATGGGCACGTAGATCACCTCGAAAGGCAGATGGAGGTGGCTGATGTCCTGGTAGATGCGGCAGAAGCGTGCTACGACGCCTTCTCTGTCGACGCCGCGTGATGTGAAGAGGAGGGCGATAGCGGGTGCGCGGCGCAGGCGTTCGGCGAGCACCCGCTCTCCGCGCTTGTTGTACACCGCCGCACTATCCACCCAGTTGTACGGTGCGCACACAGACTCTGAGTCTGCGCTCGCAGACATGTTTGCCTAGTTACAACTAAATTAAACTAACTAGTACATTACAAGCAAATAAAAGTTTATTTTTGTGGGTCACTGACATTTTGGTATTGTCAAGTGTCATTATATTTATGTGTAGATATTATAATAAAATCAAGGCTAAATAGGAAATATTCAAAATTACTTACAATGATATGTTAAATTCTCGATGTAATTCAGGTAAATATATTTACGAGTAAGTTTATTTCAAGTTTCACAGCATTTAAAAAAATTACAGTATTCCTAATACTGGCAACTATCATGTTTGTTTTGGTAACCGTTGCTTAGTGACTGCAATTTGGTACAAACAATTCAAAACGGCGGTAAATAATTGATCCAAGACAATTTTGTTAATAAATTGCTTAAATAGAAATAAAAGTATTTATCAAAATGAAATCTGTAGTGAATACAATATTATTCGATGTTTCTAAGAACGAAATGTTTAAAATAAATGAAAATTATAAAATGCTTCATCGCAAACTGAAGGCAACTTGGAAGGTTATGATGTGAGTATGGAAAAAACGATAAGCAAATATATTTCTTCTCAACTAAGCTAAAAAAAACCGCATTGGGTTAGCGTGGTTGACTATGGCCTAATCATCCTTATCTAACGGTAGGCTTGGAGCCCCTCGGTGTGGACGTATAGCGAGCTGATGATGAAGCTAAAAAAATATGTTTTAGTTGTACTAAAAAATTCAAGGATAAATTTAAAATGGCATTTATAACGAAAGCCTTTTTAACCGACTTCAAAAAAGGAGGAGTTCTCATTTTGTATTTAAAAAAGTATCCTAATTTGATTATCTTAGCCTCGCTAAAACTCGAGAACGGCTAAACGGATTTTTCTTATCTTGGTCTTGAAATGTACGTGGAGATCTAGGGAAGATTTAGAAGGTGAGAATAATTGGAACAATTGCCGGGAAAACCCTTTAGGAACCTTTTATAATACCGCGCGGACGGAGTCGCAGGCTAGTATTAAAGAGATTCTTCTAATTTAACGAAGTTAATTCCAGCAATCGAGAAGAGTTAACACAAAATATTCTAGAAGATGTCCAGATCCTTGTGGTACCAGGGCCGCAGAACGTGTTCACAGATGACGAGCTAGCCTGTCTCAAGAGTGTGGTAGAGAGGGGAGATTCCGTTCTCGTCATGATGACAGATGGAGGGGAGGAACGTATGAATACAAATATTAATTTCTTTCTAGAAGAATATGGTATAGTTGTTAATAATGGTGAGTCGTACATTTTTACTAATATTATGAATACATCTTTATATATATAATTCTTCTGTGCGTGTGTATGTCACTGAACTTCTCTCAAACGACTGGACCGATTTTGGTGAAATTTTTTGTGCGTGTTCAATGGGATCTGGGAATGGTTTAGATTCACAATTTTCATCAAATATTAACTTCATATTAATTTATTCAAATTAAAGACGTGTAGACAGGACAACGTCTGTCGGGTCCGCTAGTATATATATATATAAAACATAGTATGGAAGAAGACAGGCTACTAATTACGTTTTTTAATTCCGCGCGGACGGAGTTGCGGGCGACAGCTACAATAATGTATCACACTCAGAGACATTTAGTGAACACTTAGAAACGATAAAAGAATACTTCATACTTTAATGCCTTTACAGATTGCGTGGTTCGCGCTAAATACCACAAATTCTATCACCCAAAGGAGTGTCATATATCTAATGGCATTTTAAACCGTGGTGTCATGAAGTACATCATGAAGATGCCAAACTACAGCGTTGAGAGTGATGACTTTCTGTGAGTAAATAACATATGAAGAAGCAGCACATTTACATCCTTTTTTTATAATATAAAATATCTTGTAGGGAAGATCCTCCGACTCCCACCTTTGTGTATCCTTATGGCGCGACGCTGACAGTCAAGAAGCCCGCAGCCGCCATCTTGTCCAGTAGCGACCTCTGTTACCCTGTTAAGAGACCAATTGCCGCCTTGTATACTGCGGACAGCGGAGGTTAAAATATTCAAATAAACATATTAACATAATTTTAACAGTGGTAGAGCCCGCTTTAACATCTTCGCACGAATTGTCCCGCCTCGTCCGGTGAAATACCACGACCATACAGAAGACAGGCGTCAAGTGGAAGCTATTCCGCGTTTCGTCTGATGAGTGTGCGTCCCGGAGGCCTTATATAGTTCTTTTTCCCTTCCCACCCTCTTTCTTATAAGGAAAGGATGGGAAGTGGAATTGGACTTTCCGGATGAGAGGATGCATGGAAAGGGAAAATATTTTATTTCTGTGCATCCTCTCCTCCGTCGATTAAAGGTAGGCAACGCATATGCAATCGCGTATGTCTATGGGCAACGTTCACTTCGCTATTTCAGCGATTTCAGGTGGCCGCTCGCTCGTTTGCCACCTTCTGATATAAAAAAAAGACGAAAAAAATCCACTGATCTCTTATAAATGGATAGACTATTACATGAAACAGACGGCTTTTGCTTCTTTATTAATTCGAATTTACACAACCGCTATAAATCGTTACTATCAGCGCCAAAATAGCGAAAACGCACAAAATACAATGCCTTATAGCCAGTCCATTTATAAAGGTTGGTTATATCTCTTATTTTGTTTGTATTATATAAATTTTTCTTGAATTAAAAGTTGAAAAAGCTCAACACTATGCAAAATAAGAGTTAATTACTGACAGATACAAATATTGTTTTGTTCAGGCAAGTTATTCGTCATTGGTTCGGGGCATTTCTTCGCTGATCAGTACTTGGAAAGCGAGTGCAACGACCTAATCCGTGAGATGGTGTTCAATCACCTCGGCGGCGCTGCTGACCTGCATCTTAATCCTGTCGATGTAGAAGACCCGGATGTTAGTCAATAATGTATCATTCACTGCCGCACTCAGAGTCAATAAGTCACTAAAGGAGCCATTTAGTGGAGATTAAGAAATATATTTATGTACACTAAGGGCCTCTCTTAGTGTCCATTTAATGGTTCTAAATGCAGCAGTAACTATTTTTATTAGCAAAATGTACCAGGGAATCATAACATGTTAAGGGATAAGAACTACGAGTCTACAATACAAATAAAATCATGATTCTTTGCCAGCCTTTTTCCTGGTTTACAGTATGTCAGTACAGTAAGACAGTAGTGCTCAAATCACAGCTGGCTTTCAACTGGCATAATGTAAACGACAACTGGCGCCGATAAGTCAGACTAGCTCCGTTGTCCTACTGTACTGGCATAATGTAAACCAGATATTGTTTAATGGAGAACACGTATTATTTCCATTGAAAAGGAACGATTACAATGCATTTCATTCGATGTATCTTCTCATTCATTGTGTCGTACGTAGTATTCTATCGAGTGAATGAATGAACATTAGGTGAACGAGTACCGCACTTTGGGCGATGCATTGTTCCTGAGCCAGGTGGCGCTGCCGACCCCCGCCACCGCGCCGCCCCCGCGTCTCGCCCCGCTGCACCCACACGCCCTCTTCACTTGGACACTATTCTCTCTCAACTTGGCACAGCGTGAGTATTAGTACCAGGGGCACAGAAACATCATGTACAGATTTACCGAATCATTTAGTGAATGAAAAATGTCATAGTTCCCATGAGTTCTATATTTACAAATCTTATTGCCATCCCTTTCGTTTCCTTTAAGGTAACAGAGACAAAAATATGTTTTTGTACAAGAGTATCAACAGTGAAAACTGGCGGCAATTCATATAAACAAGGTTATTTTTCAGTGCCCGAAGTACTAGGATTGTATGACGCGCTAGGAGTAAAACATGAGCCGCTGAGACTGATCGCGCCTCAATTCGAAACCCCTTTTCCTCCATTACAGCTAGCGGTAAGTTAAATTCTAGAACCTTCTAGAACTTTCGTTTTTTTTTTAAATATTGAGTTGTCCAGGTGTTCGCGCCGAGGTTCCGTGAACCACCACCGCCGCCGCTGGAGCTGTTTGACTTAGACGAGGCTCTGAGCTCGGAGCGCGCGCAACTCGCACGCCTCGCCAACAAATGCTTGCAGCCAGACAACGAAAAGATGGCGCAAGGTGACGTCAACAAAACCGTCTCTTTAGTCCTTTTATAGTAAAAAAAACTAATTCTACAAGACTCAATAGCCTGATGTTTAAGAATACAGATTTCCGATCGCGTGCTCTGGGATTCGAATCCCGGCTTTCGATTGTAAACCATATCCTAGCACAAGCATAGAGCTTAGTTGGAACAAGAAATATTAGTAAATAAACAAAAATCTAATATTTAAAAAGAAAAAATGCAGTCATTGTAGAAGAAACCTCAACATTGCAACACAATTCTTCTGTTTTGGATTCACTACTTTGCCGTCCTGCTTAGCAAACAAAAGAGTAATCCAGATATCGAAACTTTCTTCTCGGTAAGTATCTCTTCCAGCTTTCTCTTTTCTTACTGTCCCCAGGAGACAGTAGTCAGTTGGAGAATGAATTGGAGTACTTCATCAGGGAGTGTGGACGAGTGGTGCGACTATCTCGAGCACTGACAGATGCGCCCTCTGCTAAAGCCATCTTACATCAATTGATGGTCCAGCTGGCAGCGTTCAAGAAGATCTCACCCAGAGAAGAATAGTAGAGATGGAGATGAAAGAGGTTTAAATGTTTTCTGTGAATTTCCACTGCTGAAACATCTGTACAAAAATATTAAAGGAGTCTGCTCGAAATTAAAAATAACTTAATTAGTAGCCTTTGTGTTCTTCCAGACTATGTTCTACATCTATACCTTATTTCAGCAAGATCTATCCAGCTGCTCTGGAGATACCTTCTAAGAAACGTCCATCCATCTAAGTATTAGCATTTGTAAAATTAGTAAGAAGTAAGATAATATACAGGACAGGTCGACGCAGCGTGGGCAGGCCTCCCGCAAGATGGACCGATGACCTGGTCAAGGTTGCGGGGGCGTCCTGGATGCAGGTGGCACAAGACCGGTCATCGTGGCGATCTTTGGGGGAGGCCTATGCCCAGCAGTGGGCGTCCCATGGCTGACAGGAAGGAAGGAAGGAAGATAATATATGTTTTTATACATGTTGTATAGAAGTGGAAATTTACAGTTAGATTCAACATAAGTAGAATGAAATTTATAAGAAAAGAGTTTTATTTACTTAAGTATATAATAGAAATTGTAAGATTTGCAAAATAATTTTGGTAATATTAAAAATAAATGTTGAATTGTATAAATAAATATCGCGTATTGTTTACGAAAACCATTTTATGTTTTGCACAATATGTCATCATCATCAGCTCACTATACGTCCCCACCGAGGAGCTCGGATCCTACCCTAAGTTAAGGGTGATTAGGCCATAGTCAACCACGCTGGCCAAGTGCGGGTTGACTTCACACATATCTTTGATCTTCTCAGATATGTGCAGGTTGCATCACGATGTTTTCCTTCACCGTAAGAACGTCGGATAAATGAACATAGGTAAATCAGAAATAGAAAAACTCGTTGGTACATGGCGGGATTCAAACCCAGGACCTGCAGATTGCAAGTAAAGTGCTTAACCCTGAACCATCGACGCTCTCGACGATATGTTATGTATTTTATATATTGTGTAGAAATATCGAAAACATTCTAAATCTTTGCAGTATTATTTGCCATATTGAAATAAATTTTATTACAATTTCTATAGACGTAACAATTTTAAATTAAATCAACTCTAAATAAAAACTATAACACGAGCAATAAAACTCAAATAACAATTTTGCAAACAATTGTACAGATGTACATTGCAATGAGGATATTGTTCGTCGTTCTATTGTGCTACAAACAGACAAACAGTCAAGCTAACGATGAATATATTAAAAATATGGCAAGAGCATTTCCAGTACAGAAAATAATACCATTTCATCGTAACATACAAATTTTAAACGCCCAAAAGTTCATAAGAGCTCTACCAGATGACAACGCACTAATAACGAAGAAATATGGAGCACCAGAGACATACACTGTATTCCCAGCGATCCCGACGAAAAGCCATAAAGTAACTTATTTCCCTATAGAAACTCTTTTCGGACCAAACAGGATAATCAGGAAAGTACCACATCAAAGATTACTAAACTATTCCAGATTCAAAAGATCAGCTCTTAACGAAACAAAATTAAAATCACGTCGTCACAGAAATCGTGAAGATAAATACGTCCCTAATATTAGTAGGATTAATAAAATTAATCAAAAAAACAGATTAGCAAAAGTAAGAAGCATTTCAGTTACTAGTAGAACACCTAAGATACGAGAAAACAAAAAAGAAAAAGTGAACCTTAAAAGTGCATCGAAGTCCCACAAGGTTCAGAAAAGTACGAAGAGACACGACCATAAAGTAAGAAAAAATAAAAGAAACCATTTAAGCAAATCACGATCTAGAAAGAACAGAAAAGAAAATAATCGTCGATCAGAAAGAAATCAAAGAGGTAAATTTTGATCTAAAAGTTTAAATAAATTTCTTTATTAATAAGTACGAAGTTTTATTTATTTGATTCCCTGTTTATCAGTAAATGCAAGCCGACGTCTGCTGGCGGGCAAAGACTCGACGATCGAGCAGTATCCATACATGGTTTCCATACAGAAGGGAGATGAACACTGGTGTTCCGGGGCGCTGCTAAACCCGCGTCTTGTCATAACCACTGCTAACTGCGTTTGGAAGTGAGTTAGACTTATAAAAAAAGCAATAGTTATGTAAGGTCCTTTGAATAGCATCAAAGGATTAAACCAGATGTTGCCCAAGACATGATAATTTATATCCAGTTTGCTCTAGGTTTATTTTAATGGTTTATGTAAGCCTAATTCTGTCTCAGAATAGTTAGGATGACGCTTAGTTAACAGTAATGATGCTAAACTGATCGATCGACTTTTGAACAACAACAATACCACGATCAGACAAAAGATAGCCTTCAAATGGAAGTAATTCTGCCTACACTCTGATGAGTGTGTTGCTCTTTCCTTTCTACCCTTTTCTTGTCTTAGGAATAAAATCCGAAAATGAGACAGTGTATTGACTCAACACTAGCCTTACTAAAATGTCGATGTTTATGTCCCCTCACTATTCATTCTGACACTGGACTTTGTAACGAAAGCACGTCATTCGCGCCAAGTGATTCTAACTAATAATTTCTAAAACTTGTAGGGAAAGGACGGTAAGGGCCGATGTCATGGGAACAAGACGTGAATCAAATGGCAGCAGAACTTAGGCATTTGTCCAAGATATATAAAGAGTAATTAACTTTGTTGATTGTAGATCAGTACAAGTGAGTCATATGAAGATCCGGGCGGGGTCAAAGTACTCTGACCGCGGAGGTCAAGTGGCCCGTATCCAGGAGTTGATGCGACATCCCGGCTGGAGCATCCGGCATAACCCCGACTACGATGTGGCTCTGCTGCTGCTTGACAGGAACCTAAGGTAATACTGCGAATAGCCACAAAGGTAGACCAAGATCGTATGGGTGAGTGTGACCATTCGTAACTAAAACGAAAGAAGATCATAGAAAGTTTATGAATGATTGGGATATTCTATTTTCATGTTATACAAAGTTTTCTTACAGATTCTCTCATTCTCTCCATTCGGTTGATTTACCAAATCGCTCCATGATGCCCGCCTTCAATGACGCCTGGGTCACCAGCTGGGGTAGCGACAAGGTGAAATGACAAAGAATTTTGTTGCTCGACTTACTTGGATACGAGGATTTTTTCGCATGCATGTCTCAGCGATAAAACGCTACTGATCGTTTGTAATGCCGAATATTTATAATTTGCCTAGGCATATTATATAATAAACTATACGATTTGCTATTAATAAATCAGTGACGCATGTTTCTTGAAATGCAACATTCTATTAATTTAACATTTCTGAATAATGTTAAAGAGGAAGACATCACTAGTCAAAACAGGACCACAGTTAGGGTGGGGCACTGTTAGGCGAGCGCTCAGGGCACCAGACAGAAAGGGACAAGGGTCTGCGTATTAAACAGTCTCTAATAACCCTGAGAAGCCCTTCCCAAAGGCATGGTAAAGAACAGGACGCCGCAGAAATCTCACTCAGAGCGCTTTTCTTTTGTTTTTTGATTAAGTCTTCCTTGTTCAGCGCGACGGCGTGTACCAGAACACGGGTTTGACGCTGCAGGCGTACAACGCAAAGATAATGGACTTCGGCAAATGTCAGAACATCACGCAGAGATTCGGTGTTTTCGTTACAAGGAACTTCTTCTGCATGTCGCAGATAGGACGACGATCGCCTTGCACTGTATGTTGTATTTATTTTTTGTATAACACAATTGCAAGTATTTTAAATCTATTTTATTTGTCAGCGTGATACAGGCGCCCCAGCGGTTAGTGACGGAGTTCTCTGGGGTCTGGCGTCGTGGGGCTTACGTAAATTGTAAGTTAAAAATATCAAACTTTGTCTCTCGCTCTTCTAAAAGCAGATCTTTCTTATGAATTATGAATCATCACCATTTTAAATCTAATGTTCAATTGGGCAAGGCACCGATCATTTCATCTAGGACTTTTCCCTATTTAAGGTAGACAAACTCTTATATTGGGCCGCGGACGAGAGCGAAAGCGTGCCCGTGGTCCCGTCCCGATGCGTTGGAGGAACAGAGAGGTTTGAGGGTATGCCTCCGATATGGTGGAGAATCCCACATAACTACCGCGTCCCCCCCGGAGTATGCATAAAGCATTCCTTTCTGGAAAAAAAAGCCAGACTTTTGTATACTTCATTAGTATCAGCTGCCATATCTAAATTTACTTTCTTACACAAATCCTCCTTCACGGAACTTCAGTGTTCCCTTTGTAGCCAACATTCATCACATGAGTCAATCAGTCGAATGATTCTATTCTTTCAGATGCGGTACGGAACGTTTCCCAGCTATGTTCACGTACGTAGCATCGACACCAATAATGAACTTCTTAGAAAACACGACTCGTCAGCTCATGTCCGATGACCGGAATTACCCGTACCCGGACAGGATCGCGGATACCTGGATAAAAGAACTCATGGTCAACATGTCAATGACTAAAGCAGGGTAAATAACCAGGAAATACATATTAAAGTTCGTCTCTAGTTCTATATTAATTTTGTTTTAAGATTATAGAATTTAACTAAGAATATTGCAATTATTGTATAAAAATATTGACTATCTGTTTTATTTCCTTTGAAAAATAAATAGGAGTTTAAAAACAGGTGTGTTACTTTTATAGTCAAGTTAAATATAAATGTCACATTATATTTACATATTTTAATAGCTGAGAATGATATTTATTATCTATTTATTGTCATTTATCATCTGTTGGCAAATTTCAGTGTCATTGAAGATGCAAATATATTTGTGTTCAATGAGTTTGTGATAGTGTTTTCAGAGGTTAGGTAATTTAAATTTGACTTTGTCATTTTACATCAAATCAATGTCCATCCTATTGACATACTTCATAGTATTAATTAAATTGAACTTCTATACCATTGACATTTTTTATGTAAATATTTATAAAATGAATCTTCTATATTCGGGTGAAAGTAATAAAACAATGTTTGTATATGAGCATATTTAATATTTTTTCTTTTTCAAAATTGTAAAACTCACATTTTGAAATTGCAAAATTATAACTAAATTCTCATATCGTTAATAGTAACAATCGCCATTTTGTAATTTTATCTCCACATTTTTTTTTTGTATTTCTCTCGAACTAATAATAATAGTAAACCATTTATACATCTCTAATAATTATATATTTTTAAATTCTAACAAATTCACTCTCAACGTTTTCCATTCTTAGTGTTTACATTTTTCTTTATTCCAACATCAACTTTCGCGTATCTCTAATTAACTTTTTTTTTATAATCTAAACATACTTTTTACAATTTCATCCATTTACATACATTACCTTAAACGCACCCGATGTTTAATTTTAGCAAATATTGGAATGGATTTATAAAAAAAACTATAGAAACTTAAAATTAAAAACTTAATACATACACAAAAACAAACAAAATTGTACAAACACTAAACAGTATCAGTAATTTCACATTTTATCATCGATTTAAATCAATTCAATTCTTTGGCAATTTTTGTATTCAAAAGTGAATTTACAATTTCTTTTTTTTTATTAATAAACTGGCTTGAAAGCTATTATACTATTGAGAAAACTGGCAAATGTTTATTAACTATTCTTATTACAATTGCGGTCTCGCCACAAGTGACAGCTGTCAAAACTAACCTCAAAATTGTGACAGCGACGTTCAGAAATGATTTTAATTTTGACAACTGTCAAAATGGGAGCGGGAAAACGAGAAGCAACGAAATAAGCGTTTTATTAAACTTGAAATATTAATTCGATTATTTAAAAACTTACAAACGAAAAGTACTATTATATTAAAAATTAGTTGAAAACTGGCCGAACTTTGTACATTGACTTAAATTATTGAAGTATTCAACAACTGAGGGAATAACAATAAGAGGTATCGTTTTGTATTAATAAAAATTTAGGCCAAAAATGGAAATATTTGACTGATCAAAAGGTTTTTTTACAACAAATATGTAGAATCTTTGTACACTTCAAGCACAATTGCATAACTTACCTAAAGTACTTGGCCATAGACTATGGTAACAAATAAGTATTGAGCAAAGCGGAAAATAATCGAATGACAACATTAAAATCGATTTACTTATATAATCTGTATTTTTATTAAAATTGATTAAAAATGATTAATGTTGCCAGTGTGAAAAGATTTGAAAATTATGGATGGAGCCAATTGTAATTTTACAGATAAGAAATAAACCAAACATATATTAGATGCATATAAATAGAACTACAGCACTATAATACAAATCAACAAATAAATTCGTGCTCCTTACATCTACTTCACCGTATCTTTTAATTCTATGCCAACAGATGTCGCTACATTCGGTCGCCTTCGAATTCAAAATGGCCGCTAAACCTCACCGGGCAAGAAATCAATAGATTTTTTATAACCTAACACTACAATCTCCCTGATTTTTTTTCTTACATCTAAATATACACAAAAATAATTTTGTACTCTTTTAACGAGTTAACCGTGGACTTGATGACGTCACACTTGTATGCTATCACTGTTCAATTCAAAGAGAATGAAAGAGATGGCTATACAAGTGTTACGACAATAAATTCACCGTAATAGCAACACGTATGTAGTCAGGCATTTAATTGCCGAAATATTAAGGATCTTTTTTTTTATTAAAACTCGTAATATTATGTTCTAGTGATTTAAAAAAGTGAATTATTTAATATTGCAGACATCGGCCAACTAGGCAAGCAGTTATATAAAATGTCGCCATTTTCTAATTCCCTAGTAACAAGACTTTGTGTCTTTAACGATTTCTCATTTAATATTTCTTAATACAGCACTTAAAATCGTTAAATAGCCATTAAGATGGCTGCTTAGTAACTATTAAACGAGTTCGTAATATTTGCGTTTGTTTAAAATAGAAATTATTTTTGTAATGAAAATTATAATCCGCCATTTTGTATTTCAATTGAAGTCAATTACGAAACATATTTTTAACGCCGTGTTTTTTTTAAATGTATTTGACTTCAATATCAAAATATAATTTTCTCTAGAAATGTATTTTTTTAATCAAATTTGGATGCATATAACAGTGATAGAAAGAGACAAGTATAGCACTTTTTATAAGTAAGAGTGAAACGGAAATATAAATTAAAATGAGTTCGATTTATTTGTACTCAATTGGTGGGTGTAAATTATTTTCTAAACATGTTTAATCGCGGATTTCCACTGTTTAAAAACATGCACACAAAACATAAATCAATGATTCTGGACAGAAAAACATTTGGTAAGTTTGTGCTATATTCGTTTCTTTGTAGTTAATTAATTAATCCTTAAGGATTTCTAGATTCTAAATGAATTCTCAATTTTAATAAATTTATCTAGATTTTTTTTATCTAGATTTGACCTTCTTAGGACAGTTTTAATAAGAAAACCCAACCAGGACAACATAAATTCAATTCCTCTCACGTACCAGGAATGCATAAACGTCTATCACTGTTACATAACATTTTAAAAGTATCCAAATTTAAAACCGAGTAGATTCGCCGTATCCTATGGTTGGTTGAGCAGCAGAGCTTCCAACTCGTCAGCAGAACGCAGCAGGAAAGCAGCAGACTCGCGGTAGCCTGTGATCAGCTGCCGTACTGCTCCTGTTTCTGCTCCTGACAGCTTGTGTGACAGGAGTGGCTTGCTCGCCCCGCCCCCCGACAGACCGGCCCCACCTCCTGACACGCTAGCACCGCCCACTGATGAGTGCAGAGATGTTGATGGCGTACTCTTCACTGATAGATCTGTTGGAGCTGAAATTAAATTAACAATTTTTATCAATTAACAAACTTTTCTTATAAACACTGCTCCTTAAATCGTTAAATATATCGATTTTGTTGCCTTTAATCTGTTTTTCTTACAAGATTTTTCTCTATTAAGTTCAGATTTTTTTTATAATTCGTTAAAAATTCGTTTTATTTTCTTATCGTGTTTATTTTTGATGTGTATTCATCATAACTTTATCTGTATTTAAGTTTATCAAAAGGAAGGAGCGAAAAAACTGCAAAATTGGTTTTGTAATAAAAATTTAAGCCAACCTAAGCACTCACCGGCGAGCGGGAAGGAATGCGTGTGCGCCGCCATGGCAGACAGCAGCGCGCTCTGATAGGCCGCCATCGCCGCGTTCATACCTACGCCTGCGCACACACCTCTCTGTTACTTATGCTATCCTGGTACTCGATAACCAATATATATATGATTTATGTCAAAAAACACATGTATTTTGTTTCCACTGCAGAAACAGAAACACATTGTTCATCCCTCTCATCTTTTTGGACGGAGATAAATGTTTTTAGTAGACATGTTTCGGCAGTGGAAACACTATATACTCATAGACAAGCAATTTTCAATATCTGAATTTGTTTTCACAACTAAAATTTTATTAGTTTAGTTTGTTATCTAATTTGTTAAAAATACATTCTGGCAACATTTGTATAATTACCTGTTGGTGGCAATGTAGACAGAGTGGACAACAAGGCGCTGCTTGACAGTGCTGAAGCGTTGCTTGTGTTTGAACTGGAATAATAAATATTTATTAAGCTCAGAACATCCTGTATAGTCGAAGTCAGGAAAATTAAAAAATTTAATGTGAAATCATGTATATAATCAATTTCTATTTATACTAGTTTTCATCGATTTCTTGTTCTTGTATTTTAGAGAAGAAACATTAGGAAAAGTTTACACTAAAACTAACTTTTGTCGTCCGAATGTCTGCGGTGTGCCGAACGTGCTTGGGAAAGACGGTCTGAACAGCGGCGCTGGAGACGACGCGGGGCTGCAAAATAAAAATAAAACTAAACAACTGCTTTTAAAACGCTATTTAAAAAAATAACCTACAAGCCATTTAAGTTAATTAAAAATAATTATTATAATTTATTAAAATTAAAAACAGCGCCATCTAGTTTTGAAATCAAAAAACAATTTTTTTTTAAATATTTAAAGGCACTAACCTAGCAGTCTTACTGCCAGTATTCCCATTGGCGTTATCAATCTTGAGCGTGTTATTGTTGAGCGCGGCGTCCGCAGGGCTGGGCGGCAGCGGCGCTAGTGTCGCGGGGCGCGTGTCCTTGCCCCCCGCACCCCCCGCACTGCTGGTGGTAGTGCCGGAGTACAGGCTGAGGAAAGACGACGCCACTGCTGATGTCGCTGTTGTATCAATCGACTGGAATAAAAAGCAATTTATTATATTTAGCTAATTTCGTGTAATCTTGAAGAAGTAGTCAGAGAAGTCGGAAACGGAAGACATTTTAACGGTTAGAGTAATCGTTTAAGTAGACACGAACAATTTTAGTCGCTATTTAAAATTAATATACTCAAATATATACTTTCATATTTTTCGGATTGGTCTTATATGTTAAATATTAAGTATATTATGTACTAATCGCCCATGACTCCATCAGCACGGAATTAAAAAAATAATTAGAAGCCTATGTCCTACATCTATGCCAAATTTAAGCGAGATCAGTTGAGCTGTTTTGGAGATACCTTCTAACATCCAACCATCTAAACATTCGTATTTATAATATTAGTAAGATAGTGTGTTACCATGGGTGTTGGCAGCGTGGGCATGGGCTGGCTGACAGGGTCGAGACCGAGACGCATACGTTTAGCATTCAGGCTCTCATTCTCGCACGCCTGCGCAAGAATGTGCTCCGCCTGAACCGACGTCAGATGCGCCGGCGTCGGTCGCACCTAAAACATTGTATATTAATAATTTATACATAGTTAGACATAAAGTAAATAGCGTATGCTATTCTTAGAAAGTAAGGCTTTCTGATGGAGAAAGAATTTTTAAAATCGGTCAAGTAGTTTTGAGTTTATCAGCGAAAAACAATGTAAGAAATTTCATAAATTTTCAGTATAAAGCCAACTCTTTTAAGATCGTAAGAAGTTGACATCAGAGTTTCTTTTTAAGGTTCCGTACCTTGAAGGGAAAAAACGGAACCCTTATAGGATCACTTTCTTGTCCGTCTATCTGTCTCTCAAGACGAATCGAATAATTATAATTTTCAAACCTAGTCTTTAAAAAATCGTCTACCGAATGATGCGCTTTATTCATCAATAGAACAAATATTTAATACCAAATATCATTCGAATGTCGCGTATAAATTCATAAACTATACATAACACACTTTAGGAACTTTTAGAATTGACGAAGTTTAAAACTTGCTACTACTAAAGATATGCAAATGTAATTTCGGACCCTCACCGCGGTATCCCACGCGCTGGTAGAGGGCGTGCTGCCTCCATTCCCACTGGTAGGCACGTCTCCCCTGACCTTCTTGTTCCTTCTGCAACTCTTCAAGTACGTCCTGATCCTCTTCCTCGCTCTTTCTGCGAACTCCGGGAACTGTCGTGTGCACGAGTCTATGATGGCCTGGATCTTTTCCTTAGGCTGCTTAGATATAGGTACTATTCTGTCTAGATTCTCGTCAACGAACAAACGGACGAACATCTGGAAAGATTTGTTGGTAGGATTGAGAAGTTGAGAGCTATGAGTAATAGGTGAATTCATAAAAAATAACATAATTAATAAAAAAATAAGAGTTTTTATTGACAAATATCAATTAAATATTAAGTATTTCTTTATATTGAAATTAGTTGTATTAATCGTTGAAATTCGGTTAAAAAAATGGTGCTGATAGAAATATGCATTTCAAAAGTCCATTATGATTAAAGAAGAAAATAATAATGCAAAAAAAATAGAATTCTGCTCATCCTTTTTTAAAAAAAAATTGTCAGTAAAAAATCAAAAAAATTACATTAAAAGCCTTAAGTCGTTCTGGGTCGTGATGATGTGGGTCGACGCGATCATCACTGTCGTCGTCTGAGGCTCCACCGTCGTCATCATCCTTAGTCCTGTCTGATGAGGACGTCTCATCATGGGTCGCACTCGTCTCCAACCCCGGCGTCGCGGAACCAACGTGGATTGGACTCTATCCATAAAATCCGTAAATGGATTAGTTAAATGTACCCAACGAATCACTTGACGGGTAAAACACGAGAACAAGGGACAAAGAGGAAGGGACAAATAGGTATTTTAAAGTTAAATCTCTCTTAATTTTCGTTACGATTACATTTAAAGCATTTCTATTAACTAAAAACTACACATATATAAATTTATTAGTGGCCGAATTCAATTCAAGTTCCTAAAGTGTGTTTTAAAAACATACGATGTGAATATCATATTATTTTCTTTTAAAAACATATTTTTTTAACTCTTTAAATTAATGAGAAATTTGTATAAAATTGCAACATTCGGTAGACTATGATAAATTTTGAATTATTCCGATTCAAAGACCTCAGAGGTGTACCGGTCAAATATTGGGGCTTTTACCCTATTTTTAATAGATAATTAAAAATTATTGGTTAAAACAATAATATTTGAAACGTTCTCAACCTTAAAACTCACCGAGTGGCCTGTAGCCAAGGGCGTTGGCGGCTTGGGCGGCTTAGACCCTAGCCCTAGGGCGCTGTGGTATGAGGCCCAAAGGTCTGCCATGCTGTCCGTCCCACTCTCTGACATGTCACCGTTACGACCTGCAAAGAATATACCAACCAAATGAACAAACCACGTCATCGTGTAATTTAAAAGTACCAGGCGAACATGATAAAAGTCTTATGTCATCGTTCCAGCCTGTAAGTACTAGGCGCGCATAAATTCCCTTAGTTCACTGTATGGGTATGCGAATTACCAGGCGGACATAAGTTTCCCTGTTAAACATTGAAGAGACTAGGCGAACATAAATGTGGTGGTATTAATACCCTTCATGGGTTAAACAACTGTAATCATCCACAGTTGGTCACTTAACATCGGACTAGGAATACATGATAGTAAAAATGCTATTTGCAAAATAAATGGAATGTCAAAGAAAAAAGACGATAAAAACCAAAGTAAATAAAAGCGAGCATTTCTACCTAAAAGCGCCTAGAAAATTAAAATATGTTGCTGGCATTGAAATATCCTAGATAATTTCTTTAAAAAAATAGCTTAGAATCGAACTGGAATGTAATTTTTAACAAAATTTTGATTTTAACAAAGCATCAGATTTATTCCACGGTATTCTGTTACGTTTTTAATACAGGATCAACAGAATTTTCTTAACTCCACACTATTCTCGAAACGAACCCTACTGACGTTAAAAATATAGTACTTTTTGCCCTTTAGGCTATTTACATTTTCGCTGTACATCGCAATTTAAACATTTCAAGGAACATAAGATAAAAAAGGGAAGAAACTTGTAACCGTTAGCAAAAAACCCGTTTTCAATTTTAAAGGTAGCCAGCCTGCCTACCCTGTCTTGACAATCCATAATTTTCGAGACTTGAATATTTAGTATTCATAGTCAGTTACCAAGGCGGCAGAAATTAATGAGGGTGTACAAGGCATTCGCAGGGGACCGGTGCATCTGCCTTCTAAATGTCAAGCCGAATGAGCCCCTCGCCTATAAATAATTTGAGGTGGCCGCCTATAACGCCTGCGCCCCTGGTACCTAGATATGGCTTCGCTGAGTTTGTAAAAATAGCCCAACTAACGGTACCGTAGTAAAATTATGCAGGTTTTAAAGTCAGCACTTACTTGGGTCTAGAAATGCACATTTTAAAGGTATTTCGTTATGTGAGATAAAAAGTTACATTCAAAGGGTTCAAATTAGGAATATTTTGATAAAAAATTATGAAAAAATAATGTTTGTCATAGACCTGCGCTTATATAATTACTTTTATTCAATTAAAAAATATTTATAGCTCGTTGTTTCGACTATGAAGCTTTCCATATAAGAGATCGAAATATGCTTACGGTTTTTTACTGACATATGAAGGAACAATTTCAAAAACATAACTCTAATGGAGGACATTAAAAAAAACTTACTTGACATTTAGTATTTATCATGAACTAGCAACACGTCCGCGTATAACAATTTTATATATAACTGTCGCCCGCGACTCCGTCCGCGTGTTTAAAGACTAGTAGTACCTGATTCTCAGACCTACTGTCAAGTTGTTTCAGAGGATTATGGTAACTAACATTGTGACACGAGAATTTTATATAAAAGATTTATTTTATATATCTATCTCACGGAAAAAGTAACATTTTAATTGTGAAAGATTTTTTTAAACCCGTTAAGTTTTGAGTTTATTTGTTACAAACATCAAAACTTCAAATTATTTATGTAGTGTAGTTAGTAATATTATCGCCATTTGCCGCACTCGGAGTCTTTCAATAGCTGCTAAGGGAGTTCCTTAGTGTAGTTGTAGTATTTGTACACTAACAGACTCTTTAAGTAACCATTTAAAACGAATAAAACTGACACACAAAGCGACTCATACGTCGAAAAGAGTTAGAGAGCTAATAGGGATTACTTTTTCGTACGATATAAAACATTAAATTATTCAAACTTTCGTGAGAATTTAAACTAAACTGATATATAAACACGGCTAAACACTCACGGCTCACTCAGTGAGCGACGGGCCGCATCCGCGAAATAATACCACTACCACTCATCCTGATGAAGGACCCCCGATGGGCTTGAAACTAGTCGGTGCCGCCACCGGACGTATATACGTGAGTGTTTAGCCGTTTTTATATCAGTTTTGACATAAAACATATAATTTACCTTGGCTTTGGCTGTGATAATTCCATGCCAGCAACATCATTTTCAACTTCTCGGCGTCTTTCGCGAGGGCGACACCTGCACCAATTCAAATTCGCCAATCAATTTAAAAAAAAACTATTTTTTTTTAATTTTACCAAAAAATTTTGAAAAACATTATTAAAGTAAATCCAAATTTAATACTTCGAAAGCCAATTTCATTGATGTTTTTTTTTTATATTTTTTTTTATTTCTTTTTTCATCACATAAAATTACCAATTTGATTTGATGCAAGTACCGACACAAGCTTGTTACGAGTGATATTTTTATTAATTTAATTATTATTTGCTGTATACTGACCAGAGAAATTGTCATCGTCTGTCATATCAGTTGGCTCCGGAGTTAAATTGTCCTGAAACAAAAGAAAACAACTAAAGTTACTTGTCATTTTCGTGACTCGAACACAAGAGATTTTTATGTTACACTAGTTGAAAAAAAAAGCCGAATAAATAGCCTATGTGTTCTTTTAGACTATGTTCTACATCTATACCAAATTTCATTAAAATCCATCAAGCAGTTAAGGATACCTTCTAATAAACCATCCATCTAAACATTTGGATTCGGAAACCTCGTTAACTTTGGCAACTAGTATACGACGCGTGGAAGGTGCACACGCTTCGTCACTTGACGGTTGTTAAGTTAATAGCTTAAAATTATCCCAGTATTAAGTTATACAAAGTGATATTTTTTCATCTCTGGTTATGAGCTTTATGACCAGGGTACCATAAATTGTAAATAATAAATAATTAATAAATTAGCGAAACGGCCGGCGGCGGCAGTTTGGGGTCATCGCACGGGTTCGCGGGATCCAATCGATAATGCTTCAAATGGACATACCAATATACATACACCATACACGTATATGATCCCCTGGTATTTATAAAATAAAATTGAGAACTAATTACTCTACAAACAAGCGACTGGCGAACCAGAAAGCCAGCGCCACTGGCGAACCAGCTAGCCAGCTCCACTGGCGTATTTCGTGCTTTTTTTTATCAAATACTTGACTCTATAGCTAGCTGTCGCCTGCGACTACGTCCGCGCGGAATTTAAATACACTTAATGAATTGCTTCCTGACTATTCTACATCTGAACAAAATCTTTCCAAGATCCGTTGAGCTGTTCCGGAGATACCTTCAAACATCCATCTAAACATTCGCATTTATATATTTAGTAAAATTTGAGCCGTTAAAAAAACCCGAAATAAATGCCTAGAATTAGGAATGTAAAAGAGACGAGAGGTGGGACAGGATCGCGTCATATCTCTGCCTACATCTTTAGGGTATAGCCGTGAGTTATGTTGTTAGTGAAACCATTTCGCAACAAATTTAAAGCGATTGCAAAGATCGACATTGCTTACATTAATGTTTTTTTAGAACACTGTTTTCGCAATACTGTTTGTTTAATTTTTTGATAATTTAGCAGAATTTTTTAGTTACTCGAATTTTTATGTTCTTACAAAGTAAGCCAAAAAATTAGGTCTTTATGAACTTCGCTGTAGGTACAGTTGAAACAAAATTACACGTAGAGTTTGAGCATATCTGTACCTTCCAGGAGATCTGAATACCAGGATTTCAGAAGAACACAAGAAAACCACACAGTTTGAGATGATTGGTTAGGTTTGACAACATATTTGGAAAAGGAACAATTATGTTTCTTCTGGAAGAATCTCTTTAGCAAATTGAAGATATTCGTCAAATATAATAAATAAAGCCGCACACTATTAAATAATTTGACAAACGTAATTGTATAAAAAAAAAAGTTTTTCGTTTACCGAACGCTTAACATGTCCGAGGCAAGTCGATTACGTGTACTTTGCAAGTGTCTATCTACCAGGTGCACATAGATAGGTGTTAGGTGTGGGGTGACACGGGCTTGATATCGACCGTCTTAGGGCGGTGGCCAAGGACCGCATCTGCTATGCGGACACTAAATATCCGTTGACCCTTCCCGGCTATGTACGCCTGGTAGCGTATGTTGGCCGATTGCAATTTACCCCGTAATTAATTACACCTCAATGACAGATAAGACGCAGCAGTGCGTTTACACAACACACATACATACAGGATGATTTTGTAATGCTAATTAGTAGATCACAATGTATGGATAGGTGACATTTAGATGTCGGCAATAAAGGCATTTTACCGAATTATAGTTTGACTTTGGTTCAATTTAAAACTTGTTATACACCACATTCGCTTTTGAATTCCGATAATCCGAAGAAAAGAGTTATCATATTTTCGTAAGAGATGTAATTAAGACATGGCAAAGTGATGAATGATTGACCTGAAGAAGAACTGCCGCGCGACAATCACGTGACTGTATTTTGTACATTTTTGAAATTCGCTATGGAATCGTTTCGAAAATTAAAAAAAAAATTATTAACACCCAAATTGGATTTAGTAATGCGAATGCATGGACATATGGATTGTTAGAGGTCACAGATGTAGAACATAGCTAGAAAGAACACTGATGTTACTAAACGAAAGTCACTGGCGACTGCTTATTACGAATACACAGAACTTTTTTTCCTATAACAGTGTAATTTCTAGTCATGTAGTATCGAATAAAAATCGATTATTAACTGTGAGCAATATCGATCATCCTTCAAATTACACACTTTGCTTTCTCAAGGCTTAATAATTGAAGAGAAACCCCTCTAAGGCTTTGATGTTTAAATTGAATTAATCATTTTAAAATTAAATTATGATAAAAAATTGTTATCAAACAAAATTTATGAAAATATTCAACCAATTTTATGTTACTATTGTAGCTGTTGCGACTCCGTCTGCACGGAATTAAAAAAAATAGTAGACTATGTGTTCTTGCAGATTCCGTTCTACATCTATGCCAAATTTCAGCGATCTATGCAGCCGTTCTAAAGATAACTTCAAACAAACATCCATCTATACATTTGCATTTATAATATTAGTAAGATTATTTAAAGTATTTATACGAGTTCTTTTCCATGTCCACTCTATCACTTATTTTATTGTATCTCTACGTTTTCCGTAGATCCAATTTGACATGCATTTTTTTAATATCTATAGTTTATATTTGGTAATAGTATTTTGACGTATTGGTAATATTGTTAATCGTAACATCTCGCAGACCCTTCGATATTGAAATTGTCGCTAACATGGGGGATGCTACCCTTGTTATCGAAGAAATCCTTGCAGTGTAAATAAGTTACCCCTACGACTCTTATAATAAAGAGGATAAACAGGCAATCATACGAGTCTCAAAATCTTTGTGATTGTGATGACCAAGGAATCTTACTAACATTATAAATGCGAATGGTTAGATGGATGTTTGTTTGAAGTTATCTCCAGAACGTTTGATCAGATCTTGATGAAATTTGGTATACATATAGAACATAATCTGGAAGAGCACATAGGCTACTTATGTTTTATTTACTTCTGCGCGAACGGAGTCGTGGGCGGGCGCATTAAATAATTTCCAAAAGATCTCTTCCTTCATACGTCGAATTGTGCTGGCTGTAAGACTAACACGACCTTTATATTTATGAAGAAAAAAAATCATACGTATAATTTCCGCATCCGCTGATCATTCACAATGCATGATCCGGGCGGAGCGCCCTCTGTCGATGGACTGTATAAATTGTGGAATAACCTAGTTTTCGTCACAAAATAACTGCAAAATTTTCGACAAGCCATCGCTTATGTACCTCGCGTGGTATATACAGGCTATGTGCGGGCCCCTCGCGGTGCCCCCGGCCCCTGCGTGCCCGTGTAGTGCTCGCCTCCCCGCGGCACCATCACGCTGTCACATAGTGATGTACGAGAACACTTATCGATACTCCTTACACTTATCGATAATCTTCACAATTCGCTTTTGTGTTGTTTTTCTTATATGATTTTATTGTCCATTTACATTTCTTCTATGTCATCATTTCAAAAGTAAAAATCTAGTAAGGAAAATTATTTTATAAAGAGAAATATATGTACATTTAGTAGTATATAGTGATAGTAAAAGTCTATTTTTTAATTCCATATAAAAACTTACTCAATCGTTCTAAAAAAATACAGAACAACAAGTAAAACATTCTAAATCCCAAAAGAAAGATAAGTTAAATTTAATAAGCCTTTTACTACAATTATTTTCTATTAATTTTGTACATCGTAGTATTATTAAACGTGATATATGTATTATATTTGAATGGTATGAATAAAATTCAAGTGATTAGTTCATATCGATACTCAACTATCACCGATAGTCCGCCAGTGCGGCAATCAGGTGGCAGTCAGCGTATAATCATTAAATACCCGTGAGGGGGCGATGACGCTCGCGGCGCCCCCCCATACACACCCACACACCAGCACCCCCCGCGCCCAATTATGAAAATACGAACAAAATACATTTAAATTTTGGAACGCTGCGTACGTCAAAGGACAATACGCGATGTCATTTATTGATGTATTCATCGATAATGAGGTCCGCCGCGGCACATCCTTATCCTGGCTAGCGCTCGCACATTCACGAACAGAGCGTGCCTACTAATTAATAACAACTATGAGTTATTATCAATTCCTTAAATAATAATACAAAATTCAAATTAAATAATTGTACTACATTCATCAGCGGCCGTGATTAATTGATTTTAGATGTATATAAATTTGTAGGTTTTCTTTTGAATTCGGTACCGAGACTAGCGAAGTGTACGGTTAGCAAAAAGTTACAAAAGTGAGCGGATCCCGAGGCATTAAAAATTGCGAGATCCATGCGCTAGCGATCCTTAAAACACTCGCCGGTCTGTTGCGAGCCAAAAAACATTTTTCACGAGCTCTCCCCGCTAATAGCTCGAACGGGGCTCGTTTTATTTTTGCCTATTTTTAGATCCGCATCTCGGCAGTAGTCTTCGCGGTCTTTCAAAATAAACGGGCTTCCTTTAACGTTGCCGGGTCCGCAGTTTGCGCTGGGGCCGGTATTTTTAAAGCGGACATCGGCCCCCTGCCGCACCCCCCGCGCGCCCGCCGCGCGCCCCCCGCCTGCGAGCCTCCCCACTCCCACACAGTAATACCATAACGGGTGCGAGCTATGACGAGATTATCTACCTATACATGTACGTGTACAGTAAGCCTATGTACTCCCTACATACAGTACATAAGCGATGACTTGTGTATATAATGGCATTGATTCAGCCGGACGCGGCCGTCATCGGCAGCGAGCTGCGGCCTGCGACCCGAAGACAATTACACGGTATTAAGTAAAAAACGCCACACAGATAATCAAAGAGGATCCGATGATTGTGTCATTTCACGCAGATAATGCTTAGGCATCGTGAAAAATGCATCACAATCGTTTTATAACATTTCATTATTCACTGTGGTA